CGGCCGTCCACGCCCCGGGTGCTGGGCGCCCTTCCCTGCTGGCAGCCGGCTTAGTGTCTGCGGCCTGGCCCAGCAGGGGCCCCCCGTGCAGGCCGGGACGCCCGCCTTCCCGACCCTGCCTGCCCGCTCAGCGCCGCCACCGCCGGGACCTGGGCGGTGCGTTTATAGGCAGAAATGAGACTTCTGTCAAAGGTCGATGGAGCTATCAAGCAGATTCGGGAATTCGCCCACGGCCACAGCCGGGGGGCGGGGCGAGCAGGGGCGGAAGGTCTGGCTGGCTCAAAGCCCACAGTTGTAACCGCACCGCCGGCTGCCCTTCTCCGACCGGCTCTGCACCCGCTGCCCCAGCCCTGCGGCCTTCGCCGGCTGAGAAGCAGAGTCACAGAGGAGAAGCGGCCCCAGCTCCGTCACCCGGGCCTGACCCTCACCAGCACCCAGCGAGCGCATTCCAGACTCATCGTATGGGGTTTATACAGTCGGAGCAGGAGCCGCGTTTGAGAAGAACAGTCCTGCTCTACGTGCATTTCAAACCAGAGACAAATCGCCTGTTCGCATTTATCTACAGCGAGACAGAACGGAATCGCCACGCAGCAGAGCGACATCTCTTCATCGTGACCGTAGTTCCTAACAGGCTCGAGTTAAGGGGGAAAGAGAGAGCAGCTTTGTAAACAGCTTTACTGAGATATAATTCACAGATCATACAATTCACTCATTCAAAGTGTGCGATTCAGTGGGTTTCGGTATATTAGATTATTGATTTTTTTTAAAAATCGTGGTAAATCTGCTCATTTTAACAATTTTTAAAAAAGATTTTATTTATCGTTAGACCGGGGAGGGGAAGGAGAAAGAGGGAGAGAATCATCCATACGGGGTTGCCGCTCACGCGCCCCGCACTGGGGACTGGGCTTGCAACCCAGGCCTGTGCCGCAGCGAGGCGCCGACCAGCGACCCTTGGGTGCGCAGTCTGGCGATCGGTCCACTGAGCCCCACCAGCCAGGGCGCATTTTAACCATTGTTTAGTCACAGCTTTGCGGCAAAGGTACGACCCCTTGGCGTTGAGCAGAGTAGCACAGCCATCGGCACCGCCTTTTCCGAACCCGTCCGAGCGCCCAGACAGACACCTATGACCAGGGAACAAAACCTCCACTCTCCCCTCCTCACCCCCAGGGACCGCTAACCTTCTTCCTGAGAGAAAAACTTACAAAAGATTGGGATCATTAATTATCATAATGAATAAACTTCATGTTTTCAGAGCAGTTTTACGTTCACAGCAAAATGGGGAGGAAGGTAGAGAGAGTCCCCATCTGCCCCCCACCCCTCACCTGCACAGCCGCCGCCTCATCAACCTGCTGCCCCCAAGCGGTACATGTGGTACAATCGATGACTCCATATTAACGCATCATTCTTACCCAAAGTCCACAGCTCACATTAAGGGTCTTTGTTTTGACAAACACATAATGACATGTATGTGCCATTGTGGAATCACAGAGAGGGCTTCTGTGGACCTAAAAAGGCCTGTTGTTCCCAGTAGCCGTCCGTCAGTCATTTTTTAACCTACATAATAAACCAGGTCCCATGCAATGAAAGTTGAGGAAATTATCATCCACCTCCATCCTTCCCCTCTCAATTTTCATTAGTTATATTATTATTTGTGTATGTTGTCAAGATTTTTATATTCCATTTAATAACCGTAATTGCCCTGATTTCAAAAATATGAATTCAGTGTTCACCAGGGTTCCCCACCGATGAACAGATATTGTCCTTTGGTTGGTTGGATGTTAGCATCAGATGATCTTATGGAGGTCTAAGCCCCTAAATTCATGTCTCAGGTATCCATTAACTCTTTATTCACAGGACAGTTTAGCTGGGTATGAGAGTCAGGTTCACAATTTCTTTCTCTCAGAATTTCATGGACTATGGCTCCTCTGTGCTGAGAAATTGTGTTGCTGTGGAGAATTCTGATTTCCCTCCACTCATCGTCCCATGTTCCTTACTTATACAAAGGTATGTTCTTCCCTTTATCCTTCAGGCTCAGAAACATTTTTAGGATGTCTTAGTGTTCATTACACCGTCAAGCTTTCCTGGGCTACAGAGTGGCGGCGAATCTGTGCGGCTTTTATTTCAGGGAATTTTTCCATTCTGTTGCATATTTGAATACTTTCTTCCTGTTCTGTTATCGAGTTTCTTTAAGATTCGCACCAATTATGTATATATTGGGTTTCCTTTTGCCTCCCACGCCTGCCATTTTGCCATATCGGTCCTCTCCGTTTAATCTTGCCTGTTGTCCTCCAGCCTGCCTGCCGCATCGCCGCTTGTCACACTATTTGTCTGTGTATTTATTCATTGCTTACAATATGGTTTTTAAAAGTATGTGCTGTATTTATGGTTCTTTGCCATGTGCCCCCAGAGCTCTGCCAGCTCACCTGTCCGCTTTCATCTCTTTCTGCTGCCAAATAATTTTAAAGTTTCCGAGTCTCCTGTCTTCCACCTCTCTGCCCCCCCTCCCAGTTTTTAAGGGTTTGTATCTGTGATTTCTCTGAGCCGAAGGAGAACTGTTTTTCTGAAGTCTTTCTGTGTTTCTCTGGGTGAGTCTTCTTGTGATATATGCTCTTCATTTGCCTCCCGCCGTTAATTCATGGGACCCACGTGGGTTCCTTCCTGATTATCATTCTTTGGCTACCTTCCACAGAGCAGTGAGTGAAGGAGGGGGAGTGATCTGGAACAGTCTGCAGCTGCACTTGGGGTTTGTGTATTTTTCTGGAAGACTGTCTTCCCAGAGCCGTTACGCAGCCTGCCCCGGGGTGCCATCTCTCTCCGGTTTCAGGGTCCACGCGGTCGCGCCAGCTCACAGCAAAGCGCCTTAGGTCTTTGGGTCTCTGTGCTACGACCAGCCCCTTGCTCCCCTTCCTCCTCCCTCCCCAGCCTCACTTCGCCCCTGGCATCTCCCTGAGCTGGAAAACTAGGTTCTGTCCTAGAAACGGCACGTTGGAATGATTTTCTCATCAGCTCTCCCTCTCCTTCCATTCCACCACGTGCAGTTGCATCTCTGCATGTACTAAATCGTGCACAGCAGCCCCCAAGTGGAAATTACGCAAGTGCCCATCAATGACAGAACCGCTAAGTCCGTTACAGTGTGTTCACCCCAGGCCACGCTAGACAGCAGCGACAGTGAACAGCCCGCAGCTGTGTGAACCGACATGGCTGCATCCCACGAACACGAGGTTGATCTGAAGGAGCCAGAATCCTTGACTCCACGTGCAGCGGCTCCCTCCGTCGGGCGAAGACAGCTGGATATTGGCAATTCATAGGCAAATGTAAACAGCAACAGGCCCGCGACAGGGCAGCGGTTGCCCGCGGCTGCGGAGATGTGACCAGAAGGAAGCAATGGGCGGGGGCGCTGCCGGAGCTGTGAATTTTCTGTTTCTGGGCTGGGTGCTGGTCATCCAGGTGTGTTCAGTTTGTGAAAAAACAACGCCACATAAGCTACGTGCACTTTTTTCTGCATGTGTGATGCTTCGATAAAAAGTGGAAAAACAAAGCAAAAGACAGGGAGATGCCTGCGCCCCCCCGCTGCCACCTCCTCGGCTCCGGAGCCCAGCTCTCCAACTGGGGGGCCGTGGCCACGCCCTTCGGGGGGTATTTATTTGGGGTGGGGCAAATGTCGGCTCTCTGCGCATTCCTTGTGCCCAGAGCAAACTCCGTGGTACCTGGCTGGTGTCCCGCACAGGCTGTGGCTCTGGGCTCTGGCGGCTTCCTCATTTCCTCATCGCGATTTTCTCTTCGGCCGTTTTGTGTTGTTTGCGAAGGAGGACAGTGGGAGGGACATGCTCCAGCCCCACGTCTTCAACAGGAAGTCAGGACAGGCTGCTGACCTGGCTGCTAGAGGCAAACAGCAGGCCCGACGTTCTCTCTCAACTAAATCAAGTGCTAGGACCCCACGAGGCGAGGCACCGTGGGGGCCTCTGGGTCACCGGAGTCCCTCCTTTGGGATCTTTCATGGCTCTGGGTTTGTCTTATCTTTGGCTACCGGATGGCGGTGCCGTATATGAGGTAGATGAACTCTCGCTAAAAAGGTGTTTCTCCAGACAGTGCGGCAAGCACGTGGCTGCGCAAGAACCTGAGTGGGGGCAGGGGCCCCGGGGCAGCAGCTCCGCCCGTTGTAAAGAAGTGAACAATGTAGGGGTCATTTTAGGCTAGTAACACGGGGACCGTCTCTGGCCCATGTGGGTGACACCCCCACCCTCTCTGTCTCTCCCTAAGGAGTTCATTAAAGAACTTCTTCCTCCCTGTTGCCGACTGTCCCAACAGTTCTGGGGTACTCGCTCCCCCACCCGTGGGACAGCCAGCCAGGCCTCAGTCTCGGGGCAGCGCCCGGGGAGGCGGCCTCCTGGTTGGCCCTCGCTCCACCCCGCGGCCGGTGTCCCGCCCCTGGCCGCCGGGAGTCCCTAGCGACGGCGGCAGCCCAAGTGGGGTCCTTCTAAAATACAAAACACTCTTCCGATTCTGCCGCCACTGATCTGGGAAACCTCCCCTCAGCTTCCAGTGAACAGCGTGTAATCGCTTCGGGGGCAACCAAATATATTCACAGCAAAGCCCGCGCCCTCTAGGGGATAGACTGCGGTGGGCGACTTGATTTTCCAGATCACTGAGAGCAGGCCTCCTTCAAGCACTGAGTTGTTTTTTTTTAAATTGAGGTGCAAATCTTCGTCCAATACATTCTGTCACCTCAAGCAGAAGCTGCTATGAGCGTGTCATAATAATTCTGCATTCCTCCAGGGCTGATCACAGCGTAGGCATGCCCTCTTCCACACAATTGCTTAGCAAACAGGGAAAATGGAGGCTGGGGCCGGGCGGGGACGTGTCCAAGGTCACGCAGTAGGCTCATGGCAGACCCGGGACCGACGCTCCAGCCTCCGGCCTCCACCAGGCCCTTCCTCAGTGTTCTCGTACCCACCTGCCTTTGCACAAAGTGACTCTCCTGTCCCTTCTCTCTCCCTCAGGCGTCCTCGGTGAGTTGTGTCATGGTTATTTAAGGAACCTCACCTAGAAGTCCCCACACGCAGCCCCCCATCGCCGGGAAGGCGCGGACGCCGAGATGATCATAAAGGAGTACCGCATCCCCCTGCCCATGACGGTGGAGGAGTACCGCATCGCCCAGCTCTACATGATACAGGTGGGTCGTGGCGGCCGCCGCGTGGAGGGCGTCGCGGTGCCGTGCTCGCGGCGGTGGACGCCTGTCATCTCGCTGGCGTTGCCCTCACGCTTTGTCAGCTCGGGGGCCGGAAACAGCAGACATTCATCTCTCACGGTTCTCGAGTCCCGGAAGCCCGAGGTCAGGGCGCTGGCCGATTCGGGGGCTGCTGTGGCTTACGTAGCAGGGGGCTGGGGCGCTCTGGGGTCTTCTTATGAGGGCACTGATCCCGGCACAGGGGTGCCACCCTTATGATCTGATTTGCCTCCCAGCGGGGACCCCCGAACACCATTGGAGGTTAGGCTTTAACATACGGATTTTGAGGTGGGGGAGGGGGACACAGAAATTGAGTCTGTAACAGCCCCTTTGACTGACAGGAAGGTGCGCGGCCCGGAGTCGGTGAGTGGCCTGCCCAAGAGCACGTAGCGGCTCCCGCCTTCCGGGCCCACGCGTCCCTCACCACGCGGGCCCGCCTGCGGACCCGTGGTGGCGGCCACGTGGCGGATTTGTAAAGTCACAAATGAGTGTGAGGATCACAGTGTCCTGTGTCCCACCAGGGAATGCCGCCCCCCCGCCCCCGCCCTGACCCCAGACGTCGCTGGTCTCCCTTCTCTGTGCCCGACCGACCTGGGACACGGTGGGGCCCGGAGCCCGGGATCCCACCCTCGTGGCCCAGACGAGGCCACAGCGCCCACAGGCTGGGGCCCCACTCCCCCTCGCAGCTTCCCTGCCAGCCAGCCCCTTGCTCACCCTCGGTGCCCCCGCCCTTCGCCCGGCCTGGCAGCCTCCTTCCCGGGTGAGGGTCTGACTAGAAACCCTCTCTGGGCCCCGCTCTGGCTGCTCCAGGGCGAGGACGCCTCAGCCTCGCCTCTGGCCCCAGCCCTGCCCCCCACCCCGCCCGCCCCAGTCACGGAATGATCGTAAGGGCCCTCAGAGCCAGGGAGCTGGGCTAGCGGGGCCTCCACCTCCGCCCCTGGGTCTGCCTGGTGGCTCCCACCCGTCCCCCGGGTCGCTGCAGAGCCCGGACCGCCAGCTCCCTTCTGGGAGGAGCGCGACAAAGCTGTTAGAGTTCGCATAGGCGCCCGACGTGGGGAGCCTGCCCGGAGAACGGAGGAGGCTCAGCCTCTCTGGGGGCTGTTTGCTCCGAGGTGCTTCAGAAGCGCCACTCAGTTCCCTCTTGAACCACTTCCCGTAATTATTCCTCGAGAGCAGAAGGGGCTGTCATCAGCCCCCCAGCGCCGAGCACCCTGGAAACCACTCAGCCCGTGCAAGGTCCGGGCTGATCTGCCAAAGCGACTGTCTGTCCCACGGCTTCTTCATTCCCGCCCGGGCCTGGGGAGCCCCGGCCGCGGCAGGCAGCCCCTCAGCCCCGCCTGGCTCGCTCGGGTGGGGCACGTCCGGGTCCCGGGGGGGCTGACTCTCAGCTTCTAGAACAGCCACGGCTCTTTCAAACATTTCATCACCTCTGACTCTGGGCCCCTCAAAAATACCTGCCATCTCCATTGGCTCTTTTGAGGGTTTTGGGGTTTTTTGGGGGGTTTTTTTTTAAACATCTCTCCTTATGTCTCCATTGCACGGAACACATTCACGACTTCTCCCGGGAAGGCCCCGGGCTGCCCGCCGCGCCCTCCCTCTCGCGAGCCCCGCTGCCGTCTGCCTGCCTCGCGGGCCAGCCCCCCCCTCCTCCTGCTCCCACCTTCGTCTCACCTGCCTCTGGCCCAAGTCCTCAGGGCCTCCTCACACCGTGGGGGAGGCGGGCAAGCACGTTGTCTCCACTGTGTGCGGGTTCCGTGGGTGTGAACGCACAGCAGTCAGACCTCGATGAAGCTGTTAAGTACAGACATTAAATTCTCCCGACTTGCCTGTGCCCGGCCTGGACAACAGGGACGTGCGGAAAGCACCTCCCGCTCCGCGGGTGCGTCCACGGCGGGGGGCGGGGAGTGTACGCGGAGGCCCAGTGCACAGGAGATGGACGCTCGTGGGTCTCGAGCCGCAGCCCCAGGAGTGCGTGGCTCTGGGCTGGGCCTACTGACACGGAGTGACCTTCAAGGAGGGCAGCTGCGTTTTTGTGGGAAGAAGAGCGAGACCTTAAGTCGTGTCCCGGTTGCCAGCGGGGATGCCTGCGAGGAACTGGCCCAGCCGCCGCCTCCACGAGGCTGTGAACGCGAGGGGCTGGACCCCGTCCCCCTGCCTCCTGTCCTGCCGGACCCGCGCTCCATACCTGCGTGAAAGGTTTAAAAACACACAAATTTGGCCTGGCCGGGAGAGGCGCAGGGAATGCTCAGCTCGGAGGGAGCCGCCAGAGGCGCCTGGCCAGGGCCCCGGACAGCTCCAGCCGCCCCCCGTCACCGCCTTCACCGGCCACCGCCTGGGACCCTCCTGCCTCTGAGGGGCCCTGGCCTCGTTGGGCCTGCGCTTGGCCCCAAGCCCAGGGGGCCCAGGCCCCTCCCGTGCGGCCCTGGGTCCTTGGCTTGTGGCTGCCTCACTCCCGTCTCTGCGTGTCTGCGTCCGTTTCCTCTTTTCCGAAGGACGATGGCCCACCCTAATCCAGCAGGACCTCACCTTACATCTGCAAAGACCGCACTTCCAACGAAGGCCACCGTCTGAGGTTCTGAACGGACGCGAATTTCGGGAGAGGCCACTCACGCCATCCCACCGGGGCTCGGGGCGGTCGGTCGCCTGACCCCCACTTCGCATCCTGGAACCTGAGACCACAGAGCGGGAAGTGGTCCAGGAAGAGACGGCGCGTTTTCCCTGAGGAGCCCGTGCTGCGGGCAGCCGGGCCCCGGGCCCAAACAGGTCTGAGTCCAAGGCCCGGCTCTGCCAAGTGGTAACTGTAACCTCAGACCAGTCACCAACCCCCAGCCTCCACCTGCCCACCTGTAAGCGGGGGCTGATAGTAACATTGCTCCTCGCCCAAGCAGTCGTTGCCATAACTAAAGGAGAAAGAACAAGCCAAGCACTTACCAAAACCACTACTTAATGAAGCTCCTGTAAGGGCTGGGGCTGAGACAATGGCCAGGAAATGGTTGCTGCTTTCATTACGGGATCTGGGCCGCGTTCCAGGAGCTTCTTTAAAGGGTCAGGGCGGGTGCGGCTCTGCTCGACTCCATCTTCAGCCTCAACTGGAGTCTTTTGGGTCTTTGTTTTTGTCTGAAGGAGACTAGTCTTTCTGGGCCGTGGGACGTGGCAGGTCTCTGTGCCCTCACAAGGGCCATGCCCCGGGGCAGGCAGTGCTGCCTGGAGGACCTGAGTGTGTGCGCACGTGTGTGCGTAGGTGCGCGTGCCCACGGGGGCGCCTGCGTGCACGCGGCAGCTTGCTGTCCAGGAAGCTGACCGAAGGTGGCCTGGGCGATGCCGTCACATCGCCATGGAAACAGATGCTGGACTTCAAGTCCTGAGCGTCTCAACCACGGGATTTTCTGCACAAGCAGAAACCTGAGCTTTCGGACACAGAGAAGGACGTTCAAAGGCGGAAGGACACTTGGAGGTGACCCAGGCGGCATGGCCCTCAGCGGTGGCTCTGAGGCCCCTTCCCCTGCCCAGGGGGGACCTTTTGGAAATCTGCGTGAGCGCAAGAGGCAGGATTGGCTTTCGTGTATGTCTGCGTTGTCTTTTGCTAGATTTGTTTCTTAGGTCTTCCAATCACTGTTTACGTTTAATCTCACTTTGTATGAGTTTCAGGGGTGCAGCGCAGACAATCATCTCCTTTACAAAGTGCTCCCCCTGCCCCGATATCTCCAGGGCCCACATTAAAATGTTACTGACTGGACTCCCGACGCTGTACTCCACATCCCCATGGCTATTTCGAAACTACCCATCGGCGCCTCTCAATCCCGCCTCCTTTCCACCCCCCCCCCGCCGCCCCGACACCTTAGCGATGCCACGTCCTCTGTGTGTGAACACGGGCGTCTCCCCGTTTACTTACACTGCCCTGGCCGGTCCTAGTTAGTTTATCCTTTTGGCTGCTCTTGTAAACAGAAATAATTTTCTAATTTTCTTTTGTGCTGTGCGGTGTTGTGTTGATTTTGAATCCTGCCTCTCTGCTGAGTTCATATGCTCTATCTAACAGGTTTGTGGGGGATTTTTGAGGATTTTCTGCATATAAAATGATGTTATCGGTGAATAGAGCTAGTTTTACTTCTTCCTTTCCAGTCGGGATGCCTGTTATTATTTCTTTTTCTTGCCTAATTTCTACAGCGAGAAACTCCAGTACAGTGTAGCGTGGAGGTGAGACAGCAGGCGTCCCGCCTTGTCCCCGACCCTGGGGACACTTTCCGTCCGGGGACAGTAGGGAGTCAGGAGGAGGCGTTGGCACGTGCCGCGCTGGGACTGCTGGGGGCCACGCCCATTTTGTCTCCTGCAGGCACGTGCAGAAGGCACAGAGCAGGCGTCTGGATTTAGGGGTCCTGAAGTGACACAGGGGAGCCAGCCTCATTGTTCAAAGCCCCTCCCCCTGTTCAGCACCCTGGGGCTTCGTCTCCTGAGCCCCTTCCCTTCAGCAGAGTGCTCTGGCCCCCTCACATGACTGCGCTTTTGTCCCTGCAGAAGAAGAGCCGCAACGAGACGTATGGCGAAGGCAGCGGCGTGGAGATCCTGGAGAACCGGCCGTACACGGACGGCCCCGGCGGCTCCGGGCAGTACACACACAAGGTGTACCACGTGGGCATGCACATCCCCAGCTGGTTCCGCTCCATCCTGCCCAAGGCGGCCCTGCGGGTGGTGGAGGAGTCCTGGAATGCCTACCCCTACACGCGAACCAGGTGAGCGGGGAGGCGCCAGGCGGCCGGTCCCGGGAGCAGCCCTCCAGGTGGGCTCAGCCCCACAGCCCGGGGGCCCGGCTCCCAGGGAGCTGAGCCTCCATCCCAGGGAGGGGTGCCCTGAAGGCCCCCCAGGCTCCCCCTCAGGAAGCAGGCAGGAGAGAGACGAGGGCACGGCCCGGTGCCCCCCAGCCCGCCTGGGTGGGGCCGGGAAGCCATGAGTTCAGGAAGGACTGCCTGAGAGCGCCTCGCCGCCTGGGAAGGCTCAGGGAGCACACCGCACTGTGTCCGCCTGAGAACACAGGGCAGTCCCGAGACCTTCTGTTACTCTGATCTTTTATTAGATCCCATGTCGAATGGGGGTTTCCTTTAGATCCCCAGTAGGGGGTTCTTCACTCCGTGCCCCGGCCGCCCCGCCCGATGTGGCCGAGCGCCACCGCAGAGGGGGCTGCGCCCAGCTGGCTGCCCGCTTGCTACGCAGGTGGACCCCTGAGCCCCCGGGGCTGCCTTCCCCGCCCTCGGCGAGGCTCCCAGCAGCGCCCTCCTCCTCTGAGCTCAGCTCCAGCCCAGAGAGAGGGGCTGTTCCGTTGTTGCCAGACCTGCATCCTTTCAGGGCGGGGGGCGGGGGTGGCATGTCACATGGAGCGCTTGTCCGGTTCACCCCCCCAGCGGTAGGCTGCCACAGCGGTGCCTGCATCCACACCGTGCCTTCCACACGTGGACAATGGACGCAGGGCTTCCAGAAGCATCCTACAACATCTCCGTGTTCCCCCTAAACCCGTCCCTTCCCCCAGCCTGGCCTTGGCTGTTCTTGGGACAAGGGGAAGGCCCAGGAGGCGGACACGTCAGATGAGTCTTGTCCACCACTCCGGCCTCCTTCTCCCAGCTGGGTCACATGTGGGGAGCCCCGCTCTCCTGCCCAGTGGGTCGGCAGGCCCTGGCCCAGCCACCCTGCACCCACCCCCTCTACCCTTGGGTCCTGATAGATGCTTTTCTTCCCCCACAGGTTCACTTGCCCTTTCGTGGAGAAATTCTCCATCGACATCGAAACCTTTTATAAAACCGACGCAGGAGAAAACCCCAACGTGTTCAACCTGTCTCCCGTGGAAAAGAACCAGCTGACAATTGGTAACTGTCCACCACGATGTTCCCACCTGGGAAGGGCAGAGCCGCGGGCCCCTGGCCTCAGGCCGGGCGGGCTCCAGCCCCACTCCTGTCCAGGCGAGGCGGTCAGAGCCGCGGGCAGCGTGGGGCGCCGGGGCGCCGGGGGAGACAGCATCAGGCCCCTCGGCCCCGTTCTCTGACACACACACCGAGGCAAGAGGCTTTCACGCCCCAAGCCTCTCCCTTCCGCGCCCTCCCTTCGAGGCACGCCCATCCCGGGAGCGCCGTGCACCCCACGGGCCATCGCGGCTGACTGTGTGAGCGCCGTGAGCGCAGAGCCCTGTCCCCCTCCACGGCAGGGGGTCTCGGTCCTCCCACCCCACCCCAGTTGACTACTCCACGCAGGAAACGGCCCCGTCGGTTAAACCTACTTTTCTAAGAGAGGCCGGCCATCAGGATTTTCATGGGAAATCACCCAGCTCCTAAATGTTGGCAACCAATTTAAAATCTTTGTAAATAAACACACGCGGGCCAAACAAAACACGTGTGCATGCCAGACGCGGCTCACGGCCGCCCATCTGAACGCTGGGTCCCAGGCCTACAGCCGCGAGTCCCGTGCAGGTGTCCCGGGCAGGGCCTGGGGCGGCAGCTGCCGGCCCCCCAGGAGCCAACTCCAAGGTGTCTGCTCCGGCGGATGCGGAGGGCTTTCCCCCGAGAACAGCCTGCCTTCGGCCCCACAGAGGCTTGGCAGCAGGCTCTTCCCCAGGGCTGCCGGGACGAGGGACCGCAGGCTGGGCAGCTGGCACACAGAAGGTTGCTGTCTCGCAGCTCGGGGGGCCCAGAACCCGAGGTCAAGGGGTCCACAGGGGGGGCGTCCCCTGGGGTCACTGAGGGAGACTCCGCTCCAGGCCCCCCTCCTGTTGGCAGTCCTTGCTGTTCTTGGCTTGCAAACACAGCACCCCGGCCTTTGCCACCATCTTCACGTGGTGTCCCGCCTGTGGGCGCGTCTGGTCCAGATTCCTCCTTTTTATAAGCATATTAGGCGTATTGGATGAGGGCCACCCTAATGACTTCATTTTAATTGGATTACATCTTTAAAGGCCTGTGTCCAAATAAGGTCACATTCTGAGGCACCCGGGGTCAGGACTCCAGCATCTGAACTTCAGGGGGGGTGGCGCATTCTGCCCGTTGCAGGAGGGGCGGCCCCCGCGTGGCGCGGGCGTCCGCGGCGCTTGCCTGGCCCGCCTCGGGCTGGCAGGGCCTGAGCGCCCCCGGGCCCCCGCCACGGGCCTCCTGCCTGGTTCCCGACCCCGGCCGGCGTGGCGGCCTTTCCGCCCGAGCGCCTGGCCATGGGGTCTGCTCCAGGGAGGACTTTCGCCCCGGCCCCCCCCAGCCCCACCCCTGATGCGGCTGCCCTCAGCTGCCCGACCCCTCCCGGCTTCCGTGGCACGAACATCTGTGACGGGGCAGCCGAGCGCCATCTTCCGGCACGTTCGGAAGAAGGGCCCTCAGCCCTGCTCACACACAGCGGGCCCGGCATCTTGGGCGGTTTTGACTTGGGGGCAGGGGCCGGTGACAAGGGGCAGCGTGACTCATATCCTCCCAAGAGCCGCTGCCGCTCCTCTCGTCACCCCCCACCGCGGTCCCACCGGCCCCCAGTCCATGTTCCCAAGTGCCCAGCCCTGTGGCACCGGCTGCTCCTGTCAGACCATCCCGGCCCGGCTCCCCTGCTGGGGCCTTGAACGGCTCTTCCCGGCTCCTTCCGTCCCTCCGTCCAGAGGGTGTCCCACAGGCCAGCCTGCCTTAGGACCAGATGCGGTGCCATGTCCCCTGCAGGGGACCGCCCACGCACTTAGATGGGGGTCCAGCCGCACCCCCGTTACCGCCCCCACACAGGCCCCCTGTGGGCCACCCCCGCCCCCACCACAGCCTCTCAGTCCAGTCGGTGCCGCCGGGACCGGCTCGGCCTCACGGTGCCCTGTAGCCGAAATGCCTCCTTGCTGGGCAGCTTTTCCTGGCTGCCGCGCCCAGCTCCCCCACACCCCGTCCCTCAGCCCGCGGCGGCGGCGGCGGCTCATCACCTCATGAATCTGCCTTGGCGATTGGTGGGGGCCCATGAAACGCGGGGTTTGCTGAAATGGTTTGGAAAGGCAACAGGGGAAACCATAGGCCTTGCGTTCGGGAGCTCGAGGTCGGAGCGGCCCAGAGTGGCTTCCTCACTGCCGCCCCCTCCCCCCGCCCAGCACAGGGAGGCCCAGGGCCCCACAAGGATTTCTAGGCAGCAGGGACACGGGGAGGGGACGGGACCAGGGAGGAGGCAGAGGTCAGGGCAGAAGTGACCGCTCTCGGGGTCTCCCCGCAGACTTCATCGACATCGTCAAGGACCCCGTGCCCCCCAACGAATATAGGACAGAAGAAGACCCCAAGCTGTTCCACTCGACCAAGACCCAGCGGGGGCCCCTGTCTGACAACTGGATCGAGGAGCACAAGCAGCGGGTGTCCCCCATCATGTGCGCCTACAAGCTGTGCAAGGTGGAGTTCCGCTACTGGGGCATGCAGTCCAAGATCGAGAGGTTCATCCACGACACAGGTGAGCGTGCCTGGCGCCGGCCCGCCTGCGTCCCCGCGCCTCTCCGAGCCCGGCTGCCCTTCCGCATTCCCGTCTCACTCCCGGAAGGCGGCCCCGAGGCCTGCTTTGTCTTGACCGCCCGTAAACGCCTGCCGAGCACCCACAGGCTGCGGCTGTGAATGTCATCCCCGTAGGAAGCCCCAGGCCCTGCACCCAACTCTGCAGCGTCCACTCCCGGTGGGGAACAGCCTCTGGCCACAGATCCCCGCGGCTCGGCGGCACCGCTCGGCACCCGGAGGCCCTGGCCCGGCGCTGCCTCCCCCGTTGGGCTGGAAGGTCCAGGGGAACATCATAGTGTCCTCACACCACACAGGCCTGGCCCAGATGGCCTGGGCTTCCTGTCCCAGCTGGTGCAGGCTCAGGTCCTCCTCCCTAGAGCCCTTGGCTCCTAACTGTCCCAGGTCATGGTGTGAGGTCAGCGCCAAGGGCCTGTCCCGGCCAGGCAGTGGCACCTGGGCATCACCTTTTGGGTCCAAGAGCAAATGGACCTAGTTCAGATGGGAACAGACCTACACGAATGATAATATACTTCACACGTGTCATGTCAGCCCACAGTCACCAGTGAGGGTGGCTGTTGTCACCCTGATTGTAGAGGACAGAGGCCCGGCGCTGGGTCTCAACCCAGATCTCCTGTCCTGGACAAGTGTTCTCGGACCCACGGGCGGGGCATCTCATGGGCCGTCCGTTCGGTGTGGGTGCTGGCAGACCCCGGGGCCGGCACGCCCAAGGCCGTGCAGTCTGGCGCCTGGGGGACCCAGGCAGCCCCGGCCGAGGGGGGCGCCCTCCCGGGAGCAGGGGTGAGAGCATTTCCCCAGGCGAGCCTTTCGGAGGGAAGGGGTTCGGGAAGGACGGGCGGAGGCTCTCCTGGGAAGCGGGAGATCTGCGCCCGAGTCCCAGTGACGAGAACGTCCGTCCTGGAACGTTCTGAGCAGCCGGTGGGTAAAGACAAGCCGACCGGCCGCAAGGGCGAGCCACAGGCCCGTTGGCAGGAGAAGGAACATGCCAAGCAGGCACTTCAACCAGATATGCATCCTGCAGTCGCAGACCTGAAACTCACCCCCTCCAAGAAAGCAAATGGCGAGAAAACACACAGCGCGACACAGACACATCAAGTGTCCACAACATGCTAACCAGCCCAGCGCATTAGGTAGAAAAACACATCTGTGGGCCGAACCAGGAAGAGAAGCAAACGATCGTCCCAAAGCCAGGCCAGACCCTGCAAGGGAGGGTGGGAGGTGGGTCTGAGGGCCACCGTGGCCCCCCCCCCGCCCGTGTCTGCCCCCTGCTGGGTGGTGTGCGCAGGTTTCTTAACCAATGGTTTAATCCGTGCCTCCTCAAGTTTCTTAACCAGCTTTATTGAGGACTGGGTTTACATACCACGCACTTTACCGGTTGTAAGAGGACAGTGCCATACATTTTAGTATATTCTAGAACATTCCATCACCTCAGAGTCTTTTGTTTCTGTTCCCAGTCACCCCTCCCCCACTCCCACCCCCACCCCAGGCAACTCCTATCTGCTTTCTGTCCTTATGGTTTTTTCGTTATTTTTATCCCCTAAAAGCTACCTTATTTTATATGTATCTATATTCTATTAGAAAATGAAGGACCAAGCTGCTTCGAACTTGAACTTGATTTTCCATGGGCAACTTGATAGGAAAAGTATGCCAGACGCTGAGACTGGATGCGCTCGGGAAGTTCTCTTCCAGAGTCAGGACCCCCCACCCCCAAATTCAGTGTGGCTTCCGGGCAGACGCATTACCTTGGGAGGCCATTTGTGAACCAGACCCCTCCTCGGCAGGAGGGGAAACCGAGGCACGGGGCCGTGATTTGCTGGAGGCCGCCCCATGAGTGCGGGTCAGAGCCTGACCCGCGACATCGCGGGTGTTGCCGGGTGCCCCGGGCCTGGGCTGACGCTGCCTCCGTCTTTGCCCCCCCGCGACCCGGCCCCGCTGGGCGCAGGCCTGCGGAAGGTGATGGTCCGCGCGCACAGGCAGGCCTGGTGCTGGCAGGACGAGTGGTACGGGCTGAGCATGGAGAACATCCGGGAGCTGGAGAAGGAGGCGCAGCTCATGCTGTCTCGGAAGATGGCCCAGTTCATCAAGGACGGCGAGGAGGCCGTGGAGCTGGTCAAGGGCGATGCCGGCCAGGGCCAGGCGCCCGGGGAGCCCCCGCCGCCAGGCAGCGGCAGCGAGCCCCTGGTCGGCCGGGGCCTGAAGAAGCAGTGGTCCACATCCTCCAAGTCGTCGCGGTCGTCCAAGCGCGGAGGTGAGCCCGCGGCCTCTCCCAAGCAGCCCCCGGCCGCCGCTGGGGGGCCCCGGCTCCGGAAGTGGACTCCTGCTTTGGGGCCTCGTGGGCCGCGGCCGCAGGGTGTCAGAGCCCGCCCCCTGCTTGCAGGAGAAGCCCTGGGCGCCCCGCCCCTCCAGCAGGGTCCCCCAGACTCGCCCCCGCAGCCCAGGGAAGACAGGCAGGCCGGGCCTGCGGGAGTCCTGCTCCCAGCCTCTCCCAGGTCCCAGGGTTCCAGGGGGAGAGGAGTCCTGGGGGCCCCCGCAGGACACTGAGGAAGGGGTCCCCGCTGCTGAGGGGCAGGCTGGCCAAAGGGGCCTGAAAGGCCCCAGAGCCTGAGAAAGGCCATTCCTGAGGGAGCTGCCGGGCACGTCCCGTGGCTGTTTTGAAACACAAGGCATCTCCTGTAAAGTTGGGGGTCCCCTCTGCAAATGTGGCTTTTCCCACGCCAGGCGTGCCTGTCCCTGGACTGAAGGGCCCTGGAAACACATGCGTGGGCAAAATCTCTGATCCCACAACCTTTCCTCTCACTCCCCCGCTGCCGCCCCCCTGCGTCCCCCTCTGTCGGCTCTGCCGCAGGAGGATCTGAGGAGGTGGGCCCAGGCCTGTGTGCCTGACACTCGTCCCCTCCCCCGGCCCGCTGCTCCCCTGGACAGGACGGCACGGTGCCCTGGCGGGGGGCGGGGGGAGTCCCGGGAGTGTGGAAGCCCCGGGAGCCTCCATGGGGACGAGTTAGGGCCGCCCTGCCCCCCCCCATGTCACTCTCTCCCGAGCCCGCCTGACCCTTGCTCTGGCCTGGCCACTCGCCTTCTCAGCGCAGCCGCCAGGGCGGTCGGTCACCGCGGGGCTTTGCCTTCCAGCCAGCCCCTCCCGCCACAGCATCTCCGAGTGGAGGATGCAGAGCATCGCGCGGGACTCGGACGAGAGCTCAGATGACGAGTTCTTCGACGCGCACGGTAGGCGGGCTCCTGGGGCACTCTGGGGGTCTTCCCGGGGGAGGCAGGGGGTCTCACAGAGTGGGGCGTGTGGACCGAAGAGGCAGTTGCCTACGGTAAGTCCTGGGTGGCAGCTCAGCACGGAGGGCAGGAGGAGGGGGTGGAGCCCCAGCAGCCTCGGGCCAGCCGCGCCCAGCTGTCGGCCGCGTCCGGGGCCTGGCAGGTGCGCCCTGTTCTCCTGAACCCCTTAGAAATGGATTTATAGTCAGGACGCTTTTTTCCACGTGTGAGTTTATTTCCACAAGAAGCTTCATCAAAGCGTAACTTCTTAAAATTTCTTGAATCTTTTTTATTGCAATTACCTTATTATTTTTCCCCCTTGGTTACGTTAATACATGCCTGATATAAAAACCAGAAAATGTGAACAAGCAGGAAACATACAATGTGCCCACTTTCCTGCTGATCCCAAAACCAGCGTGGCGAGCACCCAGCCCCCTGGCCGGGAGACGCGCGCACAGCCCTCGCTCGCTCCCGGCCCTGCGCTCCTCCCACGGAATCAGAGCGGCCTGCACACAGGCCTGGGAGCGGGGGCTCGGGCTCAGCAAGGGGCGGGGACTCTCCTGCAGGCACACGGCCGGGCCGAGGCAGGGCCGAGGCAGGGCCGAGCCTTGGCGTGAAGCGGGCAGAGGCGCCACCTGACCGTGACCTCTCCGTCAGCTGACCTGCCCTCAAGGGAAAGAGCTTGCGGGGTCGGTGTCCAGGCAAAAGGGAGGTGCCTGGTTTGGCCTTGGGCTGGAGACCTAGAACAGGCGACAGGCGGATCCTGAGCCGGCCTCTGCACCGGAGGCCTCCCCGAGGGTGGGAAGGCCGTTCCAGGCACCCTGCTCCCCGCCCCCCAGCCAGGCCGAGGGGCTGAGCCCTGCCTGGCCACGCCCGGCATGGGGACAGCACCCAGGCTGTGTAGAGACTTTAGAAAAAGCTGGAGAAGAGACAAGGAAGTAAAGCCAGGAGATGCCAGAAGGGCAGTGTCCTGGGGAAATGGGCCCTGTGACCGTCACGTGGCCGGGGGGGGTCACATATGCTAGGGCCCGGCCGGCTGGCCCCCGCCTGAGGGTCACGGCGGGCGTCCTCAGAGAAGCAGCAACAGGAGCCTGGATGGAGCTGCTCGCAGCGACGCTGTGCGCCATGCTGGGCTTTGTGGGCGTTGAAAACGGTCGGGCCCGGCCAGTGCGGCTCAGCTGGTGGGAGCGTTGTCCTGTAAACCGAAAGGTCGCGAGTTCAGTCCCTGGTCAGGGCGCTCACCTAGCTTACAGATTTGGTCCCCGGTTGGGGCGCATACCAGAGGCAGCCAGTCGATGTTTCTCTCCCTCCCTTCCCCCCCTCTCTAAAATCAGTGAGCCTGTCCTTGGGTGAGGATTTTAAAAAAAACAAAACAGGGACAGAAGCTGATGCAAAGAGAAACAACATGTGGCCGGGCCCTTCCAGGCAGTCCGCGGAGTCGGGCACAAAATGCTACAATGTGTGTGAACCCCGAAAACCTGATGCTGAGGGAAGGCAGCCAGACGATAGAAGACCACGTCTGTGTAAAACGTCCAGAACAGACAAATGCAGGGAGAGGGAGAGCAGACGAGTGGGCACAGGGGCTGGGGGAGGGGCACGGGGCGGCGTTTCTGTTTGGGAGATGAAAATGTTCTGGAACCGGCTAGAGGCGACGGTCGCACCGCACCGGGAAAGCACTCGGTGTCCTTTAGAACGGCTTCAGTGGTGAATGTTATGTTACATGAACGTTACCTCAATTTGTTTAGAGAAGGTCAGGCAGGAGCCCCCTGGGCGTGCCCCGGTGTGCCCGTCCTGTTAAGGAAGGGAGAGACCAGAGCTGAGCCCGGCGGGGCACACGGGCCAAGGACGCATGGAAGACCCCCTTCTGGGCCCCCCGCCCCTGGGAGCAGTCCTCCCAGTGCCCCTCGACCCCCAGTCCCTGTCCCTGAACAGCATGCCGAAGCCCCTGTCCCTCCCCACAGAGGACCTGTCCGATTCGGAGGAAATGTTCCCCAAGGACATCACCAAGTGGAACTCCAATGACCTCATGGACAAAATCGAAAGCCCTGAGCCGGAGGACACGCAAGGTACGGGCTAGGGGGCTGCCTGGCCTGGGGTGGCAGCTGCAGCGGAGGGGGCCTCCTCCCTGACTGGGCAGTGGGAGTGGGGGGCGGAGCGGGGGCACCCTGGACACCCCCCCGCCGTGACCACCACAGCCTGTGCCTGGCGCGCCCGGGGCTGCCAGGCGGGCCCCCGGCTCACAGGCCCCATGGCTTCTGCGTTACAGATGGCCTGTACCGCCAGAGCACCCCCGAGTTCAGGGTGGCCTCCAGCGTGGAGCAGCTGAACATCATCGAGGTGGGTGCCGGGTGGCAGAGGGCCAGGGGCTGTGCTGCTGCCGGGGTGGGGGCAGGGCTCAAAGGACGGGCCCTTCGGGGGCTACTGAGGCGCTTCGCACCCCCCGCCTCCCTCACATCCACACTGGCCCGGGCCCCCCGCCCCCTGGGGTGTCCCTGAGATCCCACAGGGATTGTAGGCAGCCCTCAAGGGAGGACCTGACCCAGCCGCTCCCCTGGAAAGTAAAATGAGAAACTTGTAAATTCCAGACCAAAAGTAAGATCTTCACCCTGCTCCCAGCCTTTCTGCAGTCCCTGAAGAGAAAAAAAAGATGCAAGGGGAGGAAGCGAAAGCCTTCCAGGCAGAAGTGACGTGGCCGCGGCCGCAGCCGCCGCCACCCCGCTGGGGACAGGCGGGGCTCTCAGTGCCCAATAAAGCTGTCTTGGCGAGAGCCTGTGTCTGCTTTGGGGGTTCTTTGCTCGGAGCTCACGCCCCTCCTCCTCCTCCACCTGTGGGCAGTCAGAGCTGTCTGCACTGGGGACAGGAGCCCGGCCAGCAGGCCGTCCCTCACTGCGGTCACTACGCTGCTCTGGCCTCACCTGCCCAAGGTGCAGGGGCCCCGGGGTCTCCGGGCCTGAGGAGTGTGGGTGGGGTTGGGGGAGGAGCTTCCACCCTGCACTCCCCATTCTGGGGGGGTTTTCTGCTTTGGGGTCTGAGGTCCAATGAATGGGCTTTTCTAGAAGTGTCACTGGGGTGTCAATTTCCAGTCGCTGGTTGAAGCAGATGGGGGGGTCTGCACCCCGCCCAGGTGGCGCACAGCTCTGACGGCCCCGGGGGCGGGGGCCGACGGCCTCGCTCACTCGGGAATCGGCCCAGGGTGCGCCTTCCCGCCCAGCGCAGCTCTGGGCCCCGCCGCCCACAGGCAGATCCCGTTGCTGGCAAAGGCCCCCAAACTAGAGCCCCGTCTCGCGGCCTCGCGGGAGGGGACAGGAGGGGGACGGAGGCACTGACGGTCCCCTGGCTTTTCAGGGCCCGTGTCGCCCCCCCGCCGTGTGGGCTCTGTCCCCACTGGGCTCACGTCTCCAGCAGGGGTGCCCCGTAGGAAGCAGGTGTGAGTGGGAGACGTTGGGTCTTGAACAGGCCTCGCCCCCGGGGTCCCCGAACAGTCCCTGCAGAGGGGCCCAGGCAGGCGTCCCTCAGCCCCCCACTGGCCCTGCCCTGCCCCAGCCCGTGACCAAGGGCAGCTGGACCCTGCTTCCTTGTCTGGGTGACCGAGAGGCGCTGTGGACGTTTCCTCCACAAGCCGCTCGTCTGGCCTTAGGGTCAGGGGGTGGTCCCACCCTGCTCTGGGCGACGAATTCACTGCCGCCCCCCTGGCCGGCCGGAGGGGGCAGTCCTTAGCACGGGCAGGCGTCACTCCCCAAGCCCTGCTGGGCGGCGCGAGTTCCTGCCCAGGCCCCGCGGCCCACAGCTGGCCGGCGGCCAGGCCGCGCTCGGGGCGAGGCTGCCCCGCCCTCCCCTTGCCCCCTTGCCCAGAGCGCTTGCCGGTCAGCGGCCCGAGGCCCCTTCCGGCGCCACCGCACCCCTGGGCCCGGTGCCCGCGCTGCCCACCCCCTTCCAGCCTCTGTGTTGACACTCGGGTCCTGCTGCTGCCCGGCGTCCTGCCATCGATGGCCCAGTTCAGGGCCACATGCCCCCCATGGCCCCTCCAGGTGGCTTCCGCTCCTTGCCCTGTCTCCCTGGTTTCTTGGGGACAAGCCCTTCTCTTCGCTCAGCTCCTTTCCCGGCTCGCACAGCTCCTGACGTGATACAGGCACAGCAAGTGCTTGCCAACAGCCCCGCAGGCCCGGGCCACGCGCGCCCCTCCCCATCACACACTGGAAGCCGGGCGCGGGGAGAGGCCCCTGGGGATGGGGCCCCGGGCCGGGATGGCAGGGGCTCTGGGTCCCCGTCCAGCTGGGCCCGGAAGTACTGCGTGACCTTAGACAAGTCCCTGGGCCTCCTGAGCGGCCCCCATCCCACCTCATCTCTAAGTGGGATGGCTCCAGGTACAGGCATGTGCAGGTCTCGGGGCTCGCTTTGACCTCACAGGCAGGCCTGAGAGCAGGGGGTGGGGGTCCCTCACCCCCACCGGTGAGGGGGTTCCGACAGACACGCCCGCGTTGCCCTCCCCGCTCTGAGCGGCTGGGGCTCTGCTGCCGCTGGGGCCTGTCAGTCGTACGGAGAGTCCAGAGAAGGCAGGGCCTGGGGGCCGGGGAGAGACCCCACGTAGATGGAGGGAGAGAGGCTCCCAGCTGGCCAGGCTGAGGCCCAGATCCCAGCCGCTCTTGAATGGCCTGTGACTCTGAGCTGGCAGCCGTCTTGCCTGTGGGGACTGAGACAGGCCCACGCCGGGACACACGGAGGGCAGGCAGCCCCAGCGGCCTGGACCGGCTGAGCCCCCACCTCCCCAGGGCCAGACGCCCCTGCCCGGGGCCCCTAACGGAAGTGGAGTGCGTGCTTTTGGGGGACTAGATTCCCCCTTCTGTGTCTTCTGTGCTGTGGCCACACGGGCGGGCGGGAGCAGGGGAAGGGGCCTAGCCTCCCGGGGGGAGGGTTGGAGGCAGCCAGCACCAGGCTGAAGACCGGAATCGGGGCTCGCAGAGTAGGGGGGCCTGGGCAGGCCGCCCCGGGGTGACGGGGCCCGGGCAAGGAGCCGAGCCCCCGGGGGCGTTGACACCCGCCCCCCCCCCGCCCGCGCAGGACGAGGTCAGCCCGCCGCTGGCCACGCCGCCCTCCAAGGTCCACGTGCTGCTGCTGGTGCTGCACGGAGGCACCATCCTGGACACGGGTGCCGGGGACCCCAGCTCCAAGCGGGGCGACGCCCACACCATCGCCACCGTGTTCGACACTGTCATGCGCGTGCACTACCCCAGCGCCCTGGGCCGCCTCGCCGTCCGCCTGGTGCCCTGCCCGCCCGTCTGCGCCGATGCCTTCGCCCTGGTCTCCAAGTGAGTGTGCCGCTCGGGCCGCGCGTGCCCCCAGTGCCGCGCACCTGCCTGGGCCCCCACGCATTCTGCCCAGAGGCAGCAAAGCCTGTGCAGACGGCTGGGCATAGAGGCAGGGGGGCCTCGGTTTCCCCACGGGCCTGCAGGATGCGGGGCCTTGCTCCCCAGCACCGTCCCCACACCGGCCCCCAGGCTGACCTGGGTGCACCCCCGCCGGGCATGCTGAGTGACCGCTGAGGCCCCGGGGGGCAGGGTGCTGACTGGAGGCCCCTGCTCTCTCCTGACCGGCCCCCCCCTCAGCCTCAGCCCCTACAGCCACGACGAAGGCTGCCTGTCCAGCAGCCAGGACCACATCCCGCTGGCCGCCCTGCCCCTGCTGGCCACCTCCTCGCCACAGTACCAGGAGGCGGTTGCCACGGTGATCCAGCGGGCCAACCTCGCCTATGGGGACTTCATCAAGTCCCAGGAGGGTGTGACCTTCAATGGGCAGGTGAGCCATGGGGTGGGGGAAGGGAAGACAGAAGACCCTGTGGGCGGCCTGCCCGGTGCCCAGTCCGGCCGCGGCAGGGTGGGGCGGCGCCCTGCGCACGCTCAGGCCAGAGGGCCTCTCCCCCCAGGTCTGCCTGATCGGGGACTGCGTCGGGGGCATCCTGGCCTTTGACGCCTTGTGCTGCAGCAGCCAGCCGGTGTCGGAGAGTCAGAGCAGCAGCCGCAGGGGCAGCGTGGCCAGCGTGCAGGTACCAGGGACAAAGGCTGTCGGCGCCTGGCCCGCGGGCTGCGGGGGGGCGGTAGGGACACTGAGGGGCAGGGTCTTCCCACTCCGGCTGGGAGAGAGGCTGGCTGGGCAGCGGCCAGCGGGCCTGGAGTCAGGAGGGACGACGCTGAAGAGGGGGCCGGGCCAGCAGCCACCTGGCAGTGAGCCTGCATGGGGCTGTTCCAGGACACTGACCTGCTGTCCCCGGGCACCCTGGTGAATTCGTCGCATGGCGGCGGCGGCGGCGGCAGTGGCGGCGGCAGCAGCAGCCTGGAGAACAGCAGGCACCTGAGCCGCAGCAACATTGACATCCCCCGTAGCAACGGCACCGAGGACCCCAAGAGGCAGCTGCCCCGCAAGCGGAGTGACACGTCCACCTACGAGCTGGACACCATCCAGCAGCACCAGGCCTTCCTGTCCAGGTGGGCGGGGCGGGGCGGGGCCTGGCGGGGTCAAGCACGAGGCTCACTGCCAGGGGGAGGACAGGGACTCCCAGAGGGAGGGGCGGCCGACGAGCGGGGCCTGGAGGCCCTCAGCCCCACACGGGCCCCCAGCTCTCCGGCCAGGAGAAGGCGGTTTGTGGGGGAACAGCTGTGCCCTTGTCTGTGCTGAGAGCTATCTTGAACCACAGCGAACAGAGCGTCGGGGGCAGAACTGACCAGGGACAGCATGAGCCGTGTCACGGCTGTCCCAAAGGCAGAGGGCCCCTAGAGAGGTCGGGACCCTCTGGGACCAGCAGAGCCCCCACAGGCCCCGGGCCGCTGCACCTGAGAGGCAGCACAGGGGTCCGACCTCTTCGGGCCTGATGACCCCTGAGGGCCTCCTTCAGCAGCCGAGGGCAGGCCAGCCCCGAAGAGGGCCCTGGCGTGACCGGGCGCGTCCCGCTCTCTGCAGCCTCCACGCGAGCGTGCTGAGGCTCGAGCCCGGCTCCCGCCGCTCCAGCAGCTCCACCGTGCTGGATGGCGCGGGGGCCCTGGGCAAGTTCGACTTCGAGATCGCTGACCTCTTCCTCTTCGGATGCCCACTGGGGCTGGTCCTGGCCTTGAGGAAGACTGTCATCCCCACCCTGGACGGTGAGAGCCCTGGACCCCTGTCACGAGGCCATGGTTGCATCCCAGGTCCCTTCCTGCATCAGCCTCTTTTTCGTCCTCCACACTAGGAGCCCCTCCCTCTCCCATGCTCCTGCTTCAGCAGCTTGGCCCCGGGCCCCCAACACCTGCTGTTTTATTTCATCTCCAAGACACCCTGGGAGCTGAGGTTCAGATAGGAAAGGGACCCTTCCAGGGTCAAATGGGGTTAGATCCATTCTCCCAGACCCTGGGTCCTCACAAAAGGAAGAAATAGGTCTGGGCCCCCCTCCTGCCCCCCCCCCCCCCCCGCCAAAGCCTTCTAGGTGCGGTGGCCTTCCTGCCCCGGAGGTGCCACAGCCACGCTGCCCCAGGGACCCTCCTCATAGTCTACGCAAACAGAGAGCCGAGACAGGGCTGAGCGTCGGTCCCTGCCTGTGCCTGGGACCGGCCAGTGCGGCCCCGCCTTCCTCGCCGGGCAGGGCCCATACTGTGTCCCCAGGTTCCAGAGGAGCAAACTAAGGCCCAGAGAGGGTTAGACCCTTGCTCAGGAGCCAGGAGCAGGGGCTTACATATAAGTGCACGAAGACAGAGACAACAGGAATGTTACGTTAAAAAGAATGAGGCAGAACACATGCTGATAGGAACGACTCCAACATTTTGTGCGTTAAATGAAAAAAAAGCAGGGTTCAAAAAGTATAGTGCACGTCCCTATTTGTGTGTGTGCTTTAAAAGCCACATACACACTACGGACAGTTTGTACAGGTTTCCCCACCATCCAAAAGTGAAGCATTCCTACAAAACCTTGCGTAAGCCAACATGGCATAAATCAAAGAAGCAATTATCATTAATTCACATGGGAGATTTTTTGAGCGCCCGCAGGTCCAAAAATAACCCATCAAATCATACCAAATATGCTTAATTCCGTCCATTTTTACAATGAGCGTAACATTCTTAGGAGCTCTTAGGCTTTTCTGATAGCTTAACAGCTGCCAAAAATAAATGGAGATGAAGCACAGATGCTCGCAGACACAGTTCAGAGCCTGGGCGGCTGCATGCCGAGACGCAGCGCGCGGTTTCTGGGAAGAAGCTTGGCACGCCACCGCGCTGCCCCTGCGACCGCTCATGCACGATACATGCCGAACACTATTCCCGTTTTTCCTTGTGAAAGCGAAAGTGCTCCTCGAATCTCTCTCGGTTCGTGAAAATGCGTGCGAGTGGTCCCCAACCTCCATGCGATTTACAATGTTTCAACGTTAGGAGTGTGCAAAAGCAGCAGCATTCGGTAGAAGCTGCACTTCCAATTTTGAATTCCGGTCTTTTCCCAAGCTAGCAATATGCGCCGCAATACTTTCTTGTGATGCTGGGTGTTATGAAATAGGCTTTGTGAAGATGATTTTGCCCAATCAGGGGCCGTTGTGAGTGTTCTGAGCATGTGCAGAGTGGGCTAGGCTGAGCCCTGGTGTTCCGTAGCATATGAGTGTCAAATGAATTTTTTACTTAAGATTATTTTAAAATCGCCGTGGGTTTATTGGGACCTAACCTCATCGTAAGTCGAGGCGCATCTATTAATATACGTCCTACCTAAAAGCAAAGTGGCAGAACGTGACCTTTTGAAAAGCGGGGGACACCTGTACTTAATTCTTACATTCACGTGAAGTGATGGGAATAGCCAGCAGCCCAAGCTCACAGCCTAGGAGACCTTTCCAATCCGAGCAGGAGGGCGCCACCTGCTCCGCTGCGCATGCGTGCTAGGCCCCTAAAGGCCGAGCCCTGAGGCGGAAGCCAGCCTTCCATTTGTCTTTTATCGTATACTCTTACACTTTGAAGAAGTTTTTTATGCCGCAGTCATTATAACTTTTCAATTGAAAGAAAAAAGTTGAGAAAGGGGACACGGGCCCAAACATCCCTACCCAAAATGATGAGACACGCTGTCGGGTTTTCTATTACCCCGCCCACCGCCGCGCCCCGCCCACCCGCTGCAAGCCCCGCGCCTTAGGGCGGAGCTAGCCGCCTCTGCGACTCCACCCCCTCCCGACCCCAGTTTTCCAGCTGCGGCCGGCCTGCCAGCAAGTCTACAACCTGTTTCACCCCGCGGACCCGTCGGCCTCGCGCCTGGAGCCTCTGCTGGAACGGCGATTCCACGCCCTGCCGCCCTTGAGCATCCCCCGCTACCAGCGCTACCCGCTGGGCGACGGCTGCTCCACATTGCTGGGTGAGAGCCCGCGCCCGGCCTGGGGCGGGGGCGGGGGGCGGGCGGGAGTCGGCCTCGGTCCTGAGTGCCCCAGGCCGGGGTGGTCCTGCGGTGCCGGGAAGGGCCGCCTGCGCTGAGCGCGTGCGAAGCTGGGCACCTGGGGAGGTGCGGGCGCACTGGCCCCCACGGTCCCAGCCAGTGAGAGTGACGGCAGGGTCTCACCCCACGCCAGGGAACCAGCCTACTTCCCCACTGCCCACAGAGGCGGAGCGAAGGACCCAGAGAGCCCCGTGCTGAGCCCCTGATGCCCAACCCAGATATGGGGGCGCAGGATGGGAGGCCACAGAGTGGATCTGGGCAGGGAGGCAGCGTGAGGGCCGCCGATGTCCCGTCTCCACCCTCCCCGGGAACAGCCCCATCCCACCCATCCCAGCGTGTGTCCCAGTGTCTTGTCACGTCCTGGTCCTCGAAGAGCCCACGTGTCTTGTGTTGGAACGTGTCCGGACGGTCCACATGAGTGTCTGTTCTTGTCCTCTCTGTTCTCTCCCTGTCTGCCTTCAGTCGAGACCGTGCAGAGAAGCCCCGAGCTGGTCCTGGAGGGCGGCCCCCTGGCCCCTCTCCCTCCCGGGGATGGCTTCCTGGAAACCAGCATCCCAGTTCCCGCGCTCACCTGGCAGGATGGGCCCGGGCCCAGCCCGGGCTGTGCTGAGTGTGTGTAAACCCCCTGCTCGTGGTGGCGTCTGCTTCATTGGCTAAACACTGGTCCTCGGGGACCACCCTCTGCCCTGTGCTTCTGGCCCCCAAGAGTTTGTGGGGTGAGGTGGTGAGAAGGAGAGACCAGGCAGGGCCCGTCCTGGGGAGCAGGTCCTGGGGCCTCCTCTCTGCACACCGGGGGCAGAGCCAGGGGACCTGAAGCAAAGGGAACCCCCGATTCCCGAGAGGAGAGCAGCTGCCCACGGTCACCCAGCAAGGGCATCAGTCCACTGCGAAGCGGGCAGGGCCACTGGCAGATGGGGTGAGGCCTTGAGCCCACAGGGCCCCCCTGTTCCCCCAGGAGAAGCCCCAGTCCTGGTGTGGGGGTGCCTCCTCTGGGTCCCACTCCTTCCCCCCAAGGAGGTCCAGGCGCTTCCTGCACCCCATCCCGATGTGGGTCCTTTAGCTGAGCCCCTTATTCTGTCCCTGCCCTGCCCTCAGCGCCTGCCTTGGTCAGTGTGGCCGGTGTGTGAGTGACGCACGCGAGGCCTCAGTATAAGGCATCCCTGGGAAGCCACCACAGGCCCTTGTTGGGGCCCCTCAAACCCCCCTGCCCCCCCATCATGAGCTTTGGGTGAGGCTGGGCCAGGCTGGGCTGTGAAGGCCCAGAAGGCTAGACTAGAGCAGATCAGGAGCTGTGCGTGGGGTAAGAGGGTGCCCGGGGGGCATGGGCTGGCCGTGTTGCCCCCCTGCCCACTGTGTCTGTGTGTCGGTCCTCTGTCCACCCTGCCGCGGCCCTCCTTTCTCCTGGCCTCTGCTCTGTGCCCTGCCCTCTCAGCCCTGGCACGCTCGGCCGTCCTCACAGCCGGCTCCGCTCGTCTGCAGCTGGAGGCAGCAGCCTTGCGTGGCCCAGCCCCCTCTCGGGCCCTCAGCCCAGGCACAGGCTGGACCCTCCTGCCCCCACCGCTCAGGGGCTGGGGGGCTGGGCGGGGGTGGGGGCGGGGGCCTCTCTTACCCCCGGTCTCTGGTTCCTGTCCACCTGCAGCGGAGGCCCTCCAGACCCATAACACGGTCTTCCAAGAGCATGTGGCCCCCTCCTCGCCTGGCGCGGCCCCCGCCACCCGAGGCTTCCGTCGAGCCAGCGAGATCAGCATCGCTAGCCAGGTGTCCGGCATGGCTGAGAGTTACACCGCGTCCAGCATTGCCCAAAGTGAGTACCTGGCCTGGCCTCCCAGCGCCTTCCCCTCTGTCCTGCAGGGGGCAGTGTGCCCAGCCACAACGGGGGCGGGGGTGCTACTGGCATCCTGCGAGGAGAGGCCAGGGATGCTGCTCAACACCCCGCAGTGCCTCCGTGAAGACTGGTCCAGCCCAGGTGTCTGCAGAGGACTGGGGAGGGAAGGCGTGGAAGGGGGGTGGCCCAGTGGGGCCAGGTCCATCATCTCAGGAAACTGGGAGACAATGGGCCTGGTCTTAGCCAGGAGCGGGGACAGGGGTGGGAGGCAGGGTGCTCCCTCAGGGAGAAAGCTGGGGGCTATTCCTGAACAAATAAGCAGAGCTGGACAGGCGAGACGGGCAGCTGAGGGAGTCAGGGAGATGAGCTCTCACTGTGGCCACGGGCCCCTCCTGCCACTTCAGGGGACCGAGGACACAGGGCGGCCGTCGCTCTGTGGCTTCTGCCGTCTCAGAAGGTTCTCTGCAGCAGGGCAGAGTCCGGGTCACCCCCTCAGTCCCCCCACCCAAGCCCCAGTCCACCGTCCTGTGCCATCCTCCCTGCCCCCGCGACCCGCTCTCAGGCTGCCTGCAGAGCTGGGCAGAGCTGGCGGCGTGTCCCCTGTGAGGAGGCCCAGGGGCCTGGCCGCCTTCCCAGTGTCTGTCCGTGCGTCCTGGCCCGCAGGGGCAGCGCTGAGGCCCTCCCCTTGTTCTTGATTCTCAGAGTCCCCGTCGGCGCTCAGCCATACCCCCAGCGTCAGGCGCCTGTCCCTGCTCGCCCTGCCCTCCCCACACCCCTCCACCCCGGGCCCCCGCCCCCTGGCCAGGCGGGCGTACCCCTGTCTCCCCGATTTGGACGTCGGAGAAGGTACCGGGGTCACATGCCCTGCACCCACACTCGTCCCCTCCTCTCACCGGTGTCACTTCCTGTTTCCAGGCACTGCTCACTGCAGGACCCTGCTCACCTGCCCCGCCGAGGCCTGACCGGGGAGCCGGGCTGGGCTGGGCGCACGCAGATACCAAGGAGGAGGCGGGAGCAGCTGGAGTTGGGGGGGATCCGTGGAGCCGGAGCGAGGGGTGTGGGGAGACCAAGGACTGTGGGTCAGGCAGGCTGCCAGCGGAGGGCAAGCGGCGCCCTTTACTGGGTGTCCTGGGCATCTCCTGCCTGTGGCCACTGGAGGGGCATTTTACCGGCCTCATCTCTCCCCCTGGTGCGGTGGCCCAGCCCCCCAGGCGACAGCCGAGGTTCACGGGCAGGCCCTGCCCAAACTCACCAGGCTCCCAGACGCCGAGGGGGATGGCAGACCTTGTCTTGGGGTCCCGGATTGTCACCCCACTGCTGTGACGCTTTCCACAGCCTGGAGACCTGGGGGTAGATGAGGGGCCCAGAGGTGGGCCAGGAGAGGACAGCAGGGGGCCCAGGGCCAGGGTCACCAAGATCAGGGACAGGACCTGGGACAGCGACACTGAGTCCTGCCTCCAAATGGGCTTTCCCCGCTTCTCCAAATCCACATCCTCCCTTGAAGGCCTGCCGGCCGGTGCTTTGCCTGCATGTCCCATCACCCAGCCTGGCAAGGGACTCTCGCTTTGGCGGCTGCTGCCCTATCCCTGATTGGAGGAGGGTCTCATCTTTGGGCCAAGCCAGGCCTGAGGGGCCAGGTGACCCTCTGGGGTTCCAGCCCAGTCACGGCCCCTCTTCCTGGCAGTTGCTGCAAAGTGGTGGGGCCAGAAGCGGATAGACTACGCCCTGTACTGCCCCGACGCCCTGACCGCCTTCCCCACGGTGGCCCTGCCACACCTCTTCCACGCCAGCTACTGGGAGTCAACGGATGTGGTCTCCTTCCTGCTGAGACAGGTATGGGGGTCCCACTGCAGGGCCCTGAGCAACAAGGCTGCTGACACCACCCCATTTCCTCAATCCCATCCTCTAACCTGATTGGACAAGGGCAAGCAGGAGGAGGGACCGCAGGGAAGCTGAGATGGGGTGAATGCGTTTGCAGTTGTGCGACAGATGTGGGTTGGGGGGGCCCAGAGATGGGCTGTAGGGGGTTGAAAAGTGCCCCCCAGAGCCTCACAGCTTCCTAGTTTCAGCTCCACGGGCCGCTGGCTGCGCCCTCCGAGAACAGGAGGCCCCGGTTCGAGCCTGCGCGATGGCCCGCCTTTGCCCACTGTCCCCCAGGTCATGAGGCACGACAGCTCCAGCATCTTGGAGCTCGACGGCAAGGAGGTCTCGGTGTTCACCCCCTCGAAGCCGAGAGAGAAGTGGCAGCGCAAGAGGACGCATGTGAAGCTGCGGGTGAGGGGTCCTGTGGGTGCCCCGGGCCCCGTGCCTGTTGTCCTTTGGAATCCTCACAAGAAGACCCTCCTTACAGATGAGATAACGGAGTCACACGCTCTCCCATTTAGTCCTCAGTCCGGGAGACCGGAGCTATGACCCCCCTGACAGGGAAGTACAGCGAAGCTCCCTAACTCCCCCAAGGCCACGTGGCTTGGCGGTTGAGCTGAACTTGACCGTGGGCTTTCTGGCCTTAAGCCCAGCTCACCCCACAGGCCCACAGGAGGCTTGAGCTGAGCCCATGAGACCCCCTCCGCCCCTCCATCCTCCACCGTGACTGAGCCTCGCCCCCTCCTCTCCCCAGAACGTGACAGCCAACCATCGGATCAATGATGCGGTTGCCAACGAGGATGGCCCGCAGGTTCTGACGGGCCGGTTCATGTACGGGCCCCTGGACATGGTCACCCTAACTGGGGAGAAGGTAGGGACGCAGGGAGACGGAGGGAGCCCCCGGCCCCCCCCGCCGCTCTGGCTGGGACGTGCCGTGGGAGGCCGGGGCGCAGCCCGCGCGTGACTAGCCTGTCTGGGCTCCCAGGTGGACGTGCACATCATGATGCAGCCGCCCTCCGGCGAGTGGCTGTACATGGACACGCTGGTGACCAACAGCAGTGGGCGCGTCTCCTATACCATCCCCGAGACGCACCGCCTGGGCGTGGGTGTCTACCCCGTCAAGATGGTGGTCAGGTACACGCCTCCCCGGGACGGGGGGTGGAGGATGGCCGGCCAGCCTCCTCGGGGGCGGAAGGAGGGGCCTCTGGTGGGGTCTGATGACCGGCTCCCCACCCAGGGGAGACCACACCTTTGCCGACAGCTACATCACCGTGCTGCCCAAGGGCACAGAGTTCGTGGTCTTCAGTATCGATGGCTCCTTTGCCGCCAGTGTGTCCATCATGGGCAGTGACCCCAAAGTGCGGGCGGGAGCCGTGGATGTGGTGCGGTGAGTGGCCCCAAGGGGCACATTGGGTGGGCCCCGGGCGCCAGGGTAGGGACATTTGGGAGGGACCTTGGGGACTGAGCAGCTGGCGCCACCACTTACCAGTTGTGTGACCTTCATTTTGACTGCATCAGTCGCCTCACCTGGGAAGTGGGGTCCCCACAAGACCAGGCCGCTGCTGCCGAGGGGGTGTGTGTGGGACCGTATGACTTAAGCTATGAGTGCTATACAAGGGCCGCCGCCATTGCTGCCGCTGCTGCCGCCGCTGCTGCGGGAGCCCGATCAGAGATGGCCTCTTCAGTGGCCCAAGCAGGGACTGTGGCTAAGGAGTCAGGGCAGCCCAGGAAGGGGCATGGGCGGCCGTGGGACCCCCAGACCTGCTGCTCGCCCCCAGGCACTGGCAGGACCTGGGCTACCTCATCATCTACGTGACGGGCCGGCCTGACATGCAGAAGCAGCGGGTGGTGGCGTGGCTGGCCCAGCACAACTTCCCCCACGGCGTGGTGTCCTTCTGCGACGGCCTGGTGCACGACCCGCTGCGGCACAAAGCCAACTTCCTGAAGCTGCTCATCTCCGAGGTGGGTCCCAGGCGGGAGGGATTGGGCGGGGGGGCGGGGGGGCCAGGAGGGTCCAGCCTCTGCCCACACCGGTCTCGCCCGCAGCTGCACCTGCGCGCCCACGCAGCTTATGGCTCCACCAAGGATGTGGCGGTCTACAGCTCCATCAGCCTGTCCCCCATGCAAATCTACATCGTGGGCCGGCCCACCAAGAAGCTCCAGCAGCAGTGCCAGGTGAGTCGGCGGACCTTGGAGGGTGGCACAGGCGGCAGCCCCAAAAGCCCTGCCCTGTGACAGCCGTCTTCCCCGCTGCCCTTTCCCCACAGTTCATCACCGACGGCTACGCGGCCCACCTGGCCCAGCTCAAGTACAACCACCGGGCGCGGCCGGCCCGCAACACGGCCACCCGCATGGCGCTGCGCAAGGGCAGCTTCGGCCTGCCCGGCCAGAGCGATTTCCTGCGCTCCCGGAACCACCTGCTGCGGACCATCTCGGCCCAGCCCAGCGGGCCCGGCCTCAGGCATGAGCGGACGCAGAGCCAGCCGGACAGCGAGCAGCGCGGCCAGCGCAGCATGAGCGTGGCTGCCGGCTGCTGGGGCCGGACCATGGCTGGCCGGCTCGAGCCAGGGTCAGCCTCGGGCCCCAAGTAGGGCATCCTCGGTGAGGCACTGTGGTCTCCATGGTGCTAGGCCAGGCGGCCAGCCTGCCAGGAGGCCTGGCCTGGGCACATGCCATCGGCTGGGAACAAACTTGTCCCAGGGCGCAGCAGAGGACACCGGCTGTGCCACACACAGCCCTTCTGGCCCTGCCTCACGTCCTAGGGCCTGGAAGGCTTCCGGCTTGTCATCAAAGCTGGCAAGACAACCAGCCTCAGGATGACAGAGGGACCAGGACCCCCGACGTGGATGGGCCTTGGCGGTACTCGTGGCCAGCTGCCTTGTGTTGACCTCGCAGCATCCTCATGCCAGGCCTGGGCCCAGCCAGCCACCCCCCTGGCCACTAGCTTGACACCTCTGTCCCCTCTCACTTGGTAGCAGCTCCAGCGGGGGACAGCCTGCTTCTTGGGAGCTCAACTTCCTCAACTCTCCAACCTCACTGGTTTTGCACTGATTTTTGAGAGCAGAGACCCGTCACTCTCTCCTGTGGCTGCAGACCATTCACATGCACGGAAAGCTGGCCTTTGCCGCCCGGGACCGGTCGCCTCGCAGAGGCTCGGGGGCGGCAAAGCCCTGTGCGCACAAGAGAAAGGCCACATCCTACTTCTGCAGCTGCGCCTGACCATAGCAGCCCCAGACCCCTGCCCACCTGCCCCGGCTGGAGCCCAGGGAGGCTATGGGCCTGGCGTGGCCGCCGGCTCTGGGCACAGCCCAGGCGGTGAGGCCGGTGAAGACCGGGGCCAGCTCCCGAGAAGCCCTGCCTCGGCCTGCGGGGCCCGGCCCTGCTTCCACTCCTTGCCTGCCATCAGTCAAGGCCCCAAGCCTTGGCCCTCCCGCATTTCTACACCTTTCTACTTCTCCGATAGTCTGATTTCTACAAGGTTTTTTTAAATGAGCAATCCTCGGCTGCTTCCTTTTCTTAACTCTTTCAGTACCAAGCGCAGCCCCTCCCCATGGCAACCACCCAGCACTGTGACGGAGTCCAGCCTGGTTCTGGGTCCGGCCTCCTGCCCGCGCAGTGGGGTGTGGGCCCCCTGCCTCACCTGGCCCGTTAATTCCACTGAATTTCTACTCTGGGGCGGGTGGGGCACACACTTCAGTTTTTTAAATGCCAATCCCATTCCGATGCCCAGTCTAAGAAGCCGCAACTCCCATTGTTAGCTCTTAAGGACAGGCAGCCATGGCTCTCTGTCCTCCCTGGTCAAGCCAAGCTGTCCTGGTCACTGGGTCTGCGTGTCAGCCCTCGCTCCCCAGAACCGACTCCAGGCTCAGCTGTGGCACACGGCTCGCGGGGGCCCCTCTTTGGCTCCTCCGCTTGCCTCGAGGCGGGGAGCCCGCCTGGGATCGGCCAGCCAGTCAGCCACAGGCTCCCCGTCTGAGAAGCTGATGCCGACGTGGATACGGCTTCGGGGCCACACGGGGTGGGATGGGAGCGCGCTGATGGATGTGAACATTTTCCCGTGTGTAGATATGTACAGCCAAAGGGTTGTGTAAATGTTCTGCAAAAGTGGGTCTATACAGAGTGAAAGCTATTTATTTTGTGCAGAGAAAAACGTCTGGAGGGATGGGACCTTCAGGGTTTATTCATATTTAAGATGTAGCTTTTTGTTGTTGTTTCAGGCGTTATGTATAAAGCAACGATTATTTTACGGACCGAGTTTTAATGTAACTGTTGCAGTGAAAGTGCAATACCTGACCCCTCTGCTCCCCAGTGGGAAATCGCTCGGCCGACAATCACGCCCCACCAGGGGCCCCCGGCTAGTGCCTCCTCCTCTCTCGGCCCCGCCTCACCCCATCTGGCCCACCGCCTGGATGACCGGCCATCTGGAGAAACACCTGGAAGAGTCTCGGGCCCGCCCGCAATAAAGGCTGAGGCGCCCTGGCCAGGGGAGGCCATGTGGGCAGCGGGCAGCCCCCCACAGCTCCGCGCCCCGCCTTCCCGCCCAGCCGCCAGCCACGCCAAGGACAACAGCAATAGCCCCGGGGCCTCTCCCAGCGGCCCTTAGCCATAGGTGGTGAGAGGGGCAGCCCACCCTCCCTGTCGATGTCTCTTCTGTATCCAGGTCTGCTTCCTGCCTCCCTCAAGATTCCTTTTGGCACAGTCTCCTCCTGAGGAAGCAGCAGTTTTCCAGAAACTGAGAGAGGGAGGACAGAGCCCTTTAAAACTACCAACAATGTTTACAGCGTTGGGTGCTGAGCTGCAGCGCTCGGGCCTGACCGGTCGCTACCAAAGGGTGGGGCGGGCCTTGCTGGCTGCCACCCGCCAGGCCCGGTAGAGTAGAAGCCTTAGTCCCGCCCCCGCGCCCAGGACTGCGCCTCAGCCCGCCCCCCACGCCTGGCCACCTGCCTTCTCTCATTTCTCAAGAGGGTTCAGCAGAGACCCCACGCCCTGCCCAGCTCGACCCGAGCTGCCCACCGCCCGCCACGTCGGTCTTTGCGTCAGCCCCCTCCTGTCTATCTGTCCAGCTGTGTGTGAGCTGTCCTGACGTGCCCCGCCCGCCCTTGCTGTCTCTGCACCATCGGGCCTGAGTGTGCTCTGTATACAGTGTCATTGTCTGTCACACGAATTAAAAGAGCAGGAAGGCTTCTTTTTGGGTCTCATTACTGTGCCAGCAACTAGAGCGGCGCGGGGGGGCGCACAGCCCGTCCGCTGCCTAGTGCCCGCGGCCCTCACGGTAGCGCCGGTGGACTCCGGAGGGCCTCACCCTGTGCCGGCACCTTCTAGCCCCTTCCGGGGCGTGCACTCCGCTCATCCTCACAGCAGCTGACTGCCCTGGGTGCTCTCGGTCTGTTTTACGGAGGACACAGCACCAGGACCCTCTGCCACTGCCACCTTCCGATGGAGCACAGCAGGGGCGGCAGCCTGCCTCCAGCCTGAGGGGACTGGGCTCAAGCGCCAAGCCTCTGGGCTTGGGGTTTGCTGAGGGGGTGGGGGGCGATTCCAGGCAGGCGGAGCCGAGCGTGAGCGCAGGACCACCAGGGTCCACCCCAGGTTTCCCCAAAAGCTCTGCGGCCCCCCGTTTGTCCCCTCGCAGTCCAGCAGCACCCTCCCCTCATCCCCGTCTCCGCACAAAAGGCAACAGAACAGAAGTCTTCAGCCAGGGAACGTTTAATGTCTGGGAGGCTGCGCGCTTTCAGGAGAAGGGGACCGATGAGGACGGTCGCCCTGGTCCCCTCCACCCCCAGCGTCCGGGAGGAGGCAGGCCCGAGGCGGGTCCACTGCCGACGAGACGAACCGCACCTGTCTGGCCGCCTGCTGCCCGCCCGACAGCGCCACCAGCAATGTGCACAGGCCTGACGGGGGCCCTCAGGGCAGCAGCCCCGCCCGCACCTGGAAGGCCAGGCCGTCCCCTCGGGTGGCTTGCTAGTAAGGAAGCACACAGGAGGGCACACATCACAAACGGAGCCGAGGATGGGCCCTGGGCAGAGGGGTGACACTCACCTTGTTGATCTCCCTGTGTCGCTCCTTGGTTACAATTTCCTCTAAGACCTCGCCATCTCCCTTAATGAGCCTGGGCGGGGGGAGGAGCGGGGAGCAGGCTGAACCCCTAATGCTAGAGCCACAGAGCCACAGTGGCCGGCAGATGAGTGTCCGCCCCCCTCACCCCGTCTCTCCCACCCTTGGGTCAGGGATAAAGGCTCCAGGTGGGCTCTGCCATCAGGTCAGCCAAAGGTGGCTCTCTGGTGACCCTCCCGAAGGCCCTTCCAGCCCCACAGTTGCCTCCTCCGGGCAATGGGGAGGAGCGGCCTCAGAAGCCCCACCAGCTGCGGAGCACTCTTCTCGTCCCTGCTCTGCCACAGCCACGGCCCCTCCCCCGGCAGGTGCCGGTCCGGCGCTGGGCCCCGCCGAGCACTCCCACCTGGTGCGTCCAGTCTCCGGGTCCACCACCTTGCGGATGACACTCTGCCGAGCGTCCCACTCCTCCTTAGTCATGGGCTTCATGGCCTGGATGCGCGACTTCTGCTCGTCTGTCAGGACTGGAGGGAGAGATGGCAAGAGGTGGTCGTTGGGCCTGGGGGGCAGGGGACCCGCCCTGTCCTGCACACCTGCCAGCACAGCACCTGGGCCGTCCTCGTCCTCCCCGGCGGATCTGTGCCACTGGTCCAGCGAGGGGCCTGGCGGAGCCTCCGGCTGCAGCACCTTCGTCTTCTCCTTGCCCTTCTTCTTCAGCTTCTTCTTCCTTTTCTTCTTCTTCTTCTTGTCCTTGTGCTTCCCCCGCTTCTTCCGCCCATCGCTGGAGGAAGAGGAGGAGGACGAGGAGGAAGAGGAGCTAGAAGAACTGGAAGAAGAGGAGGAGGAGCTGGACCGTGGTCTCCTCCGCGACTTGTGTCTGCTTCTCTCTGTGATGCAGGGAGAAGGTGAGGCTGGAAGGCCAGGAGGGGAAGCAGTAAACCTTTGTCCCCTTGCTCTGGCCTGTGTAGTCTCAATCCTAGACAGAGGGGTGAGAACTGACAGGGGTCAGCACTCTCTGGAGAGGTACTTTCTAGGCTCCGCGCAGTCACTGGCTGCAAGCGAGCAGGGCCGCCAAACCCCGCGGTTCAGGCGCAGCTGCACAAAAAGCATGATTAATTAAGCGCTCCCATTACGAGATCCATGCTGAGTGGCCCCAACCCCTGGATTCTGGGTGTCTTTCAATCCAGACATCCGCGTTGTAAAGTCTCTGCACACCTCTGGCTACTGCTCATTGCTATTTTCCCACAACCGTTCCCAGGAAGCCCGCCCCACTGCCTGCAGCTTCCTCCACCAAGTTCCCGCGCTCCTTTCCCATTCCCCCCGGTCCTCACCCTCTGCCCCGGAGGAGGTGGTGCTGGCCTTGCGGCCATGGGATCTAGAAGCCGAACAGCTCCTCCGAGCGTCCTTACTGCTCTTCTTCCTTCTCTTTTCCGACCCTCGCCCCCGGGATCGGCTGCGGCTCCTCGAGCGCTTGCGAGAGCCGGAGTGAGCCATAGCGCCGCGGCCTGGAGACGGGGGGCACGCTTAAATGGAGGCCCTAAGAGCGGGCGCGAGGTCTAGGCTCCAAGGTTCTCGGGGGCCCACTACCCCCATTCCCCACCCCGGGCAGGGATATGACAAACTCCGCCACAGCCTCACGACTCTCAATCACCCCCAGCCCTGGGGACCACGGATCCTCCGCGGCGGCTCCTTTAAGGGCCCGCCCCCGCCGGGACGCTCCACGCCTGCGCGAGCGGCTCCGAAGACCCTCGCTCGCCAGGTGCGCTCCGAATCCCTTTCCCCGCGCCCCTCCCTCCACCCCCGGGCCCTCTGTCCTAAAGGAAGTCGCCGGGATGCTCAGTTCCCTCCTAAACTGCCCCCCGGGTCCCGCTCCGCACACACACCTTCGCGTGGGGCAGCGGCTGCGCGGTGACTTCCGGCCCGGGGTGGTGCTCGGGAAGGGCGTCCGGCTGCGAGCGGGGCACTGCTGCCTTTGGTTCTGAAGCCTCAAGTTCCGTCTCTGGGGCGGCTTGGGGAACCGAGTCTGGCGCGCCCACCTCCGTTTAAGAGGCGCGCTCTGGGGATCCATGTTTCACGTCCAGGCCGGTGCGGCGTCGTGCCTGCGTCCGCAGCTCCTGGCCCAGAGACGCGCTGTCGAGCCAGGCGTCTGTCCCGGAGCTCGCAGGCCCTTTGCTGCAGTTGTGCCCTCTTCCAAACTTGCCCTTCCAGCGCTTCCGCAGCACCCCGTCTCCCTGACGTCCCAGCGAAGGCGACCCTTTTGCGCGCCACCTTCCACCTCGGTTGTCTGCAGACCTGTCCATTCCACTTGGCCGTGAGCTCCCAGGCTGAGACGCCCTGGTCTTTCCAGTATCCCCAATCAGTAATAACTGGTATCACCAACTCAAATGTCCAAAAGGGGCCAGAGACATTGTGGCAGTGTGTGAAGCAGGGACTCCTGGAGGGGCGCACCGCAGGTCTGTTGGGAATGAGCAGCGGAGACTGCCTCCCCTGTTGTCTGTGGTGTGGGGATGGAGCCTGGTGTCTTCCGACGTCCCCGCGGAGGCCGGACTCATGATTTCAACAGGGAAATCCCTGGTTTTCAAATGGGCCACCCAGTGTGCACAGCTGTACTGCTCACCCAACTTGAGGGCCACCAATTGCAAACTCTTCAGTAATAACGACAGCAGCAGACTCAAGAGGCTGTTATAAAGCACTTTATTGACTTTCTATATCATTTGGCTCTCACAACAGCTGCAGGACACAGGCACTTTGCGATGAGGAAGCTAAGGCACAGAGGTCAAGTGGTTTACCCATAGTCACCGAGCTGCAAGTGGCAGAACCAGAGTTTGAACCCAGGTGGGCTGGCTCCAGAGTCCCTGCTCTCAACCCCTCTGCAGCAGCCCCTCGACACCACCAGCAAGATGCGACTGGTGGCCCACCCACGTCCCCTTTACAGACGGGGACACTCACCCCCAGCTGTGGTGTCCGGTGCTGACAGCTCACGCCTGTGCATTTCTCTGGAAGATTCCCTCGGCCACTGGGAGCCACTTGTCCTGGAGATGGATGTCTGGGAAGTTACACACGCTCCTGCGGTGCCCCCTCCTGACACTCCCTGCAGCCGTAACTGACGCTGGGGCGCATGGGCAGACTGGTGCCCCCAGCTGCATGGGCCCAGCCTGAGTTCAGACACCCTGGCCCAGCTCCCTCCTGCCCTGTCCCGCTGCCCAGCCTCCCTTCTCCTGAGGGTATTCCCTTGGTAAACAGGAATCCCCACCTCAGGTTCTGCTTCTGACAAACCTGACCTAAGCCAGCCCGTCTGCTGAAAGAATGACCCAAAGCCGGCTCATCCTTTTGAACCAAGAAGTGCTGAGGGCTGCAGGGAGTTGATCTCTGCCCTCTGCAGAGCCCTCTGCTGTCATGCTACCCCCCGCCAGGCTCAAGTCAGCGCGCACACGTCCACCGCGGCGGGCTCCTCCCGGGTGAAGCCGTCACCGAAGCCCTCGTCATCCACCAGGTCGGGCTTGCGGCAGCACATGGGGCAGAGGCGGTTGCGCACAGCGGAGGCCCGGAGCCAGACGACGAGGTTCCACCGCTCGCCGGTGCCCAGGGGCCGGGCGCCGTGTAGCTGGCCGCCGCGGTGCAGGATGCCCTGGCCCACCACGTGCTCCACCTCCAGGGGCTTGGCCAGAGCCGACGGCGCCTGCAGACAGCTGGGTTCAGGCTGGGGCACTGCCAGTCACCCCGGCCCTGCCCAGTGGGTCACGCGCACTGACCTGGAAGAGGTCCCCAAAGTACAGGGCGCCCCCCGTGAAGGCCTTGCCCAGGGCCACGTTGATGGTCAGCTCGGCATTGTCATAGTGGCAGCCCAGCTCTCGGTCCTGGCCTGGCGCGTACTTGACCACAAAGGCTCTGTGGCTGTCAAGCCAGCCCCCGCCACAGTCTGGGTACAGCAGGGCCATCAGCGGCTGGAGGAAGCGCTCCCGCAGCGGTGTCACCAGCGGCTCATCCAGGCCCAGCTCATGCAGCAGCACCTGGGAGGAGGGTCCTGGGGTCAGCAGGGAAGCTGGCAGGGCCTCACCCTGGGTCCCTGGACTTGTTTCACTTCGTGACCCGTCTGTGATTCCATTGAACGGACCAAGAGACCAAGGCACAGGGAGGGCCACGCCACTCAGCTGCAGGTGAGTCTCCCCAGACCCGGGAGCCCCTGCCACCTCGGCCCGCAGGGCCTCACGCACCCCATAGTTGTTCATGGTGTTGGGCCGCCCCTTCGGCAGGTCCGAGCGCTCGAAGTGCTCCAGCTCCTCCAGCAGGGCCCGGCAGAACGGCGCCGTGAACACTGGGAGCCGGTAGATCCGCTTCTCCTCTGCGGAAGGAGGGCCGGCCAGTTGACGGGGGCTCGGTGTGCGTTTCCACCCCCTTCCTGGAGCTGTGTGAGCCTGGCCGTGTCCCGCTTCCCCAGTCGCACTTTCCTCTTCTGTGCAGTGGGGAGAACGTGAGCTCTTACGATCAAATGATGCGCCGTGTGTGCAGCAGGAAACGTGTATTCTCGGGCCACCCTGCTTCCCTGGAGCCTCTCTTCCTGCATCCACGGTGACCACACATCTAGCCTCCAACTCAGATGCGAGTCCAGATGAGGGCCCGAGGTGGCAAGGGGTTAGCCCAAGGACACCCGGCAGGCCAGCCTCAGAGCCCAGCCAGGACCACAGAGCAGCCTCACACTCTCTGCGCCCCTCTCCCCAGTGAGCCGCCAGGGCCTGCACCCCAACTCAGACGTTCCTTGGAGCTTCTGTTCCTCCCAAGGAAAGCTGAGAGGGGCTGCTCTTTCTTGCAGGGCCCTGGCGGGGACAGGCCCCACCCAGAACGGAAATGGGGACATTTCTTGGCAGACACACCAGTGCTTTGGGGGCAGGGGCACTGTGGCCAACTAACAAGCACCGCAGCCCCAGGCTCTTCACAATTTCACCTGCTCAGTGGGAGTCCCCCTCCTACCCCACACCGCCCCTTGGGGCATTTCATTCCATGTTCCATCTACCCCATGCCCCCCATAGAGTGCAGGCTGCCGGGGTGGGGGGGGTGGCTTTTACACCTGTCCCCACAGTGTCCCCCAGGCCCCAAACAGTAACTGCAGGACAAGGAGACGCTGCGCGCCCAGCCCTGCCATGCATTACCTCTGCTTGGTCATCACAGCGCCCGAGAGGTGGGCCGCATGACCAGTCCCATTTCCCGAAGGAGGAAACCAAGGCGGAGAGGTCAAGGAACTTGCACGGCTCCCGGGCCTGGGGCTTCTGGGGGGTTTAGCCAGTGGGAGACCGGGCAGCACGAATGCGGCACGTGGCGTTTGGTGTGGCTGGGAGCCCCGGCTCAGGGCCACAGCCAGCCCCTCCCACGGCGCCGAGTCCTGGCAGCCTCAAGCAACTTCACTCTCGCCCCCTCCTTCTGGTCTAGGGACAGATGTGCTCCCCTCCGCGCCGGCCCTGGTGGGGCCCTTCCCCGTCCCTCGCGGGCCCTGCACCCCGGCCCATGCCTGTCTCAGCCGGCCTTTCATTGGGCTCTCCAGCCCCCCCGCTGTCTCCTGCCCGACACAGGTGCTGGTCAACCGTGTATCTTGGGTGAGTGCGTGAGGGAATGAATCCCGATGCCCCGCCCCTGGGCCGTCCAGCTCCCAGCGGTTTTTCTTTTGGAGCCTCCCACCCCCGGGGCCAAGGCCTCACCCGACACCGTCTCCAGCCGCTGCAGGAGGCCCTCGAGGTTTGCTCCGGGCAGTGCGCTGTACTCGGCCGCGGCCAGAAACTCGGGGGCCAGAGCCACATCCTGGGGGCAGAACACAGGCCCACCGTGGGGCAGGCAGCCGCCCGCGCCAGCCTGGGCGCCTCCTCCTCCCGCAACCCACCGCTGCTAAGTACCTGCAGTGGGCTGTAGATCTCGGGCCGTGCCGGCCGGTAGGAGCTGGCGATGAGGGCTTTCCTGGCAGCCGACTCCTGCCCCAGCCGCTGCCGCCGCTGCACCTCCTGCTCAAGCTGGGGGGGACACAGGGCCTGGTTACCAGGACAGGGCCTCCCACCCCCTCGAGGCCATTGTACAGACGAGGAAACTGAGGCTGAGGAAGGCCAGAGCAGGCCCAGGCTGGGAGCCAAGTCTCCCCGCGCTCCTGATGCTGGCAGGGGCGCCAAGCTGTTAGCTGAAGGGGCCTCCTTCCAGAAGGGGCCCATCCCACTCTGGGCTGCACCAGCCAGAGCGGGGCTGGGGTGAGCGCCCTCAGGTGCCCCTCGGCAGCTGGGGCCACTCAGGGAGGGACCGAGGCCCAGCCACAGCTGTGCTCCACGGGCTGCAGAGGGCTCTCCCTGGAGCTCCCACCACTAGCCCCCAGGGGAGGGAGGAGCGAGGCAAGGTCAGGGTGAGGACAGCCGGGAGCCCGGCAGCCCTGAGGGACCTCAGCCCCAGCTGCCAGGGAACCTTGAGCAATTTTTCTATCTCAGAAGGGCATGAAGTAGCTCAGGCTCTGCAGAGCCGGTGTGGCTCAGTGGATTGAGCGCTGGCCTGCAAATCAAAGGGTCACCAGTTCTATTCCCAGGCAGGGCACCTGCGTGGGTTGTGGGCCAGGCCCCCAGAAGGAGGTGTGGGAGAGGCAAACCACACGTTGATGTTTCCTTCTCTCCCTCCCTTCCCCTATCTAAAAATAAATAAAACCTAAAAAAAGGGAGGGGCATGAAGTAGAAAGCTTGGCATTTCCCCTTTTCTCTTTTTCTGGTGCCAGGCCTCACGTACTGCGGTGTGTACAAAAAAGGGGAAAGGAGGGTTTAAGGAGACGTTCAGTGACCCGGGACTGGTGGCCTGAGGCTGGGAGACCCCCTCCAACTGCTGACACAAATTCGGAAAGGAAGGTCCGGGCTGGGTGCCCAGGGGTGTTGGAGGGTGTTGAGTGTTACCTCTTCCAACAGCTGCTGGAAGTCCTTAGGGCTGACGCAGCCTCGGCTGCGCAGGATCTGGGGGCAGAAAGATCAGTGAGCACGGCCCTGTGGCTCTGGGCAATCACTTAACATCTCTGAGCCTCGGTGCCCCCTCCTACGACGGAGGCGAGAGCCCCGACCTCACAGGGTCCTTGTGAGGATGGAATGCGACAAGCGCTCGGCCCGGGGCAGGGCTCCTGGCTCCCGCGCAACACCGAGCCAGGCTCCGCCGTAGACACTGCGCGCCATGAGTCAGTTCACCGATTCTTCATGACGGCCTCGCGGAGGAGCACCGTTACCACCCCCCACATTGAAGGCGAGACAACGGAGGCGACGCCATTCTTGTTGTCAGACCTGAGCGCGCGAGCAAAGCAAAGGACCTAGGGACAAAGGTCACTTCTCTGCCAGCCCTCCCTCCCCCGTTCTCTGCAGAGCCGGTGGAGGCCACTCACAGGGCCGTAGTCCTGGCGCAGCTGCTGCTCGCTCCGGAAACGCAAATGCAGCCCGTAGCGCGCCACGTACAAGTTCTCAGAGCAGAAGCAAGCGCAACGGCAGAAGCGCCGCTGGGCACCTGCCGTCGCCATGGTGAACAGGCGCGCGCGGCCCCGCCGGCCTCCGTAGGAGCACTTCCTGGTACGCCCTCCTTCGAGGGGGTGTGACGTCAGCGGCCAGGGATCCGGTCTAAGTTTCCAAGCGCAAAAAGAACGAAGACTCCACCCCAGAAAACGGCCTGCGGTGTAAAACGAGGATCCGGGCCGGGAGTGGGAGGGTGAGGGTTGGGAGGGGCCTTGTCGTTCAGCCTCACTGTTCCCATCCATGGGGCGGGGGCTACGCGCCCCACTTTACAGATAGGTGAACTGAGTCACATCTTCACGGGACGTGGAGAAGCAGGGACTCGCAACCCCAAGACCTCTGGCCGCCTCCTTTTCCCGCTCGGAGCTTTCGAAGAACCAGCCAACCGCACGAGGACAGTTAAAGGCGCTCTGGGGTTCTATCTCGTTTATTCCAAATGCTAAGAACCATCCTGTTCTGTGCGTCTGAGCTTGGGTTTAACCTTTTTTCCCGGATCCCTGTCTCCACTCTCCCACAGTCTCAGGTTTCTTCGCAGGTTGCCCCAGTGTCTCCCGAAAACGCTCCGTCTGGCGTGACTTCCGGGGACTCTCCGGAAAACTTCAGGTGTGGGCGGGTGAACAGGGCGTGGTCTGCCCGCGGCCACGTCCCGCTTAGAGGAGTACGATGAGTGGTATTTCTGACATAGAGCATGCGTCCCAACCTCTAGGAGACCCGTCACGGTATACGCGGGGACCCCATCGTGGTACACACCGCCTCGCACATACATTCCACATACAGAGTTGCACACTCACGCACACCCTCACACCGACTCAGCACACTCACATCCCGCACACACCGGCTCACGCTCACAGGCAGCACAACCCTGCTCCTTTCTTCTGTTTGCATCTTGACCTGCAAGGCCCACCCGTTGCTCTTACAGAAGCCCCAGCGCCCATAAGGGAGACGGGAGACCTTCATACTCTGGGATGCACTGCCGGGCCGTCCCCCGCAGCTGTCTCCATCAGCACTTTCGGGGGTCCAGGGCTCCAGCCAGCACAGTGTCCCTGTCCTTCCCCAGTGCTTTGGGGAAAGGGCCCCTGCTCTCTGGGCAAAGCCTGCACCAACAGCCTGAGTGGCTGGCACACTGGCGGGGCTGCCAGACCTTCCTGAGTGTGCATGTCTGTGAGTGTCTGAGGTGTGCGTGTGCAAGTGTGTTTGGAGTGACAGACAAGGTCCCTGCCCTTCTGACTGTCTGGTTCAAGTGAGGGGAGACGCGACAGGAGCAAGCACGGGAACAGCTACGTAATCAAATTATTTTTCATCTGCTCGTGAGGGCTAAGAGACTGCGGGTGGCGATGGGATGGCCAGTGCCTGGAGGTGGCCTCGTTAGACAGGCAGCCAGGGCGGCCCTCCAAAGAGTGACATTTCAGCTGAGCCCTAACTGCTGCATCAAGATCTGGCGGGCGGGGGTTGGCTGGGGAACGCAAAGCACCGGACACTTAACGTCTGCGGTGGGCGGAGCTTGCACGGCCGGGGTTGTGAGAGGGCCAGCCGCAGGGAACGCGCCAGGGTGCTGGCGGGGCCCGAGGAGGCCGCGGTTAACGTTTAGAATTTTACCCTGCATGCGCAGGGAAGCTGTTTAATCCTCACAACAAACCCTATGACACAGGAACCATCCCCATGTCACAGATGTGGAAAATGAGGCTCAGAGAGGTCCAACGATCCACCCAAGATCACACCACTTGGAGGGGTGGAGTCCGGAATGGCCCTCAAATCTGACTGCCGGGTGGTTGGTAAAAGTGCAGCCCCTCCCCTACTCAAACATAAAACCCAGGCACTGGGCCGCGGGGACCCTAGGCCCCCCCCCCCCAAGCCTTCTGAAGGCCCAGGCGACCTTAAGAGCCCAACTCCCCGGCCCAGAGCTGGGTGGCCTGAGTAGGTGTTTAAAGTTTCATGGGTGTCTTGATTGCCCAGCGATAGCGAAGGGCGGGGTGCATTTCCCCAGCGTGACGGGCGGCGTCCCCAGCCTCCCCGACGCGGTCAGGTTGCTCCCTTTTGCAGCCGTTTGCAAGAGGAGCCTGTTCTGCCTGTCAGCTTCGACCGGCCCTCCCCGCGGCCCCTCCTCCTCAGAGGGTCCCCGCCCCCACCCCGCCCCAGCCTGGGCTCGGTCCCCAAAGAGCGCAGCAGCAAGAATGGTATTAATAAACGCCAAATCAATGTGACTCGAAGCCAGCCATGACGTGGTTTTATTAACTGCGTGAGGTATTTCCACTCTCTCCACTTTACAGACGAGGACACAGGCTCAGTGAAGTGCAGGGGCACCTGTCTAGGGTCATAAACCTAGTGAGAATTAGAACCGCCATCCTGTGTGGTTCCAGAGTGGCACGTGAATGCGCATACACATGTATATGTGTGTATGTATGTGCATATGGCACAATTTTTTGAATGAACATGGAGCACCTGTATAAAAAGGTGCAAATCATAAGTGTACCATTTGGTGAATGTTCACAAACTAGACACCGAGATCCAAAACAGAGCATTCCAGCTTCACAGAAAGCCCGCTCCATGTCCCCTCCTCCCAGTCACCACCCACCTCCAAAGGTTTCCAGAGCAAAGATCTGTCCTTGAATTTGATGCAAATCCAGTCGCGCAGCGTTGTTACTTCGCATGCCGCTCCTTTCACTCAGCACCCTGTTCTTGCCACTCGCCTGTGGTGTGAAGCAGCAGCTGGGTTTCCGTGGCTGCCCGGCTCAAGCGCAGCCCGCCCCTCGCGGAGCCGTCCTGTAGTTGACGGGCATTTGCATTGTTTCCAGTTTGGAGATGTCCTGAGTGAAGCTGCTGTGAGCATTCTTCTTTTTATAAAAAATTGCAGTAAAATTTACCATTTTAATAGAGTTTTTTAGAGCAGTTTTAGGTTCACAGCAAGATTAAGCTGAAAGTACAGAAATTTTTCATATACGCTCTGCTCCCCCCATACTCACAGCCAGAGCCTCCCCCTCTATCAACTTCCTGCACCAGAGTGGGATATTTGTTACAATCGATTAATCACACTGACACATCATTACTACCCAAAGCCCACAGTATACATTAGGGCTCAGTCTTGGAGTGGTATGATCTGGGGTCTTAGCAATGTATAGTGACACGTGACCCCCACTGTATCATACAGCGTGGCTCCACTGCCCGAAAATCCTGTGCTCTGCCTATCCATCCCCCTCCTCCCCGCCCCTTGTAACCACGGATCTTTTTACTGTCTCCATAGTAGTAGCCTTTTCAGGCTGGCTTCTTTCACTTGGTAAATAAGCATTTTAGGTTCTTTCATGTTTTTTCATGGCTTGATGGCTCATTTCTTTTTAGCATTGAGTAATATTCTATTGTCTGGATGGACCACAGTTTATCCACTCGCCTGAAGGACGTCCTGGTTGCTTCCGAGTTTCAACATTTGTAAATAAGGCTGCAATACATGTCTGTGTCAAGGTTTTCCTGTGGACATACGTTTTCAACTCATTTAGGTAAATACCAAGGAGCATGATCGCGGGGTCCTCTGGTAAGACTTTGTTTGGTTTTATAAGAAGCTGCCAAACCGTCTTCCAAAGTAACAGCACCATTTTGCATTCTCTGCCAGCAACGAATGAGAGTTCCTGTTGCTCCATGTCCTCGCCAGCGTTTGATGGGTTGCTGTTCTGGATTTTGGCCATTCTATGGGGTGTGTGGTGATATCTCATTCCTGGTTTAATTTGCAATTCCCCAATGAATATGATGTTGAGCATCTTTTCATAGGTTTATTTACCATGTATATATTTTCTTTGCTGAGGTATCTGTTTAGATTTTTGGCCTCTTTTTAAAAGCATTTTTTATTTGGTTTTTTATTGTTGAGTTTTCAGAGTTCTTTGCGTGTTTTTGGATAGCAGTCCTTTTTCAGGTATATCTTTTGCAAATATTTTCTCCCAGTCTGTGTCTTGTCTTCTCACTGTCTTGACAGTGTCTTTCACGGAGCAGAAGTTTTTAAGTTTTTAACTGTAACAAAGTCCAGTTCCTCAATTCTTTCTTTCATGGATTGTGCCTTTGATGTTGTGTCTAAGGGATCATCCCTTTGCTCAAGAAAACCTACAATTTCTCCTGGGTTATTTTCTAGGAGTTTTATAGTTTTGCATTTTATATTTTAGGTCTACGATCCATTTTGAGTTAATTTTTGTGAAAGTGTAAAAACTTGTCTAGTCTCTTCTTTTTTTTGCATGTGGATGTTCAGTTTTTGCAGCACGATTTGTTGAAAAATAAAACCTGTCTTTGCTTTGTTGTGTTGCCTTTGGTTCTTTGTCAAAGATCAGTTGACTATATTGACATGGATCTATTTCTGGGCTCTTTATTCTGTTCTATTGATCTATTTTTTTGGTCGATACCACACCGTGTGGTTTACTGTAGCTTTACAGTAAGTCTTGCAGTTGGGTAGTGCCAGGCTTTTGACTTTGTTTTTCTCCTTCAATATTGCTTTGGCTATTCTTATACAGCAACAATGACAGGGCCTGGATTTGGACCTAGCTCTGAGTCACTGCAACTTTTGGATAATCCATCCAAGAGAGGCTCTTCAGGCATAATCATATATTTGCCTTTGTTTTTGCACAAACGGTAACCTACTTCAACTTTATTCTGTCCCTTTTTTAGAAAATTTTTAATTTTTATTTTTTAAGAGGTTTTATTTATTTGCTTTTAGAGAGAGGGAAAGGAAGGGAGAAAGAGAGGGCGAGAAACATCAATGTGTGAGAGATACATGGACTGGTTGCCTCTCGCACACCCCCAAATGGGGACCTGGCCTGCAACCCAGGCCAGTGTCCTGACTGGGAATCGAACCTGTGGCCTTTTGGTTTGCAGACCACCACTGAGCCACTGAGCCACACCAGCCAGGGTTCCCTTGTTCCTACTCAGGACATTCAGAAGGTCATTGCATACCTTTATGTAACTCCGTATATAGATAGGCACATAGATTTGTGTCCGCCGCTATAGGGTGTCCCATTGAGCCACACTCTGTGATTTCTTGGCCAGTTCCCTATGGAAGGATATTCAGGTTATTTCCAGACTTTTGCTACTGCGGTAACTATCCACAAGCCAGTATCTTTGCTCCCCTCTGCAAGTCTATCTATAGAAGAAATTCCCACTGGGTCAAAAGGAAAAAGTGCGTTTTAAATTACGAGCACCGTCCCATTCCCCCCTGGAAGGAGGCTGTCCCCTGTGACTCGCAGAGGCTGTTGTACCCGAGCAAGCGCTTTGAGCCTCTGACCGAAGATGAGGGATGAGAAGATGTCTTGCCCCACCGGCTGCCCCTCTGGCCTTGACCTACTCTCCCCAGCTCTCTGTTCAGGCCACACGGATCCCTTCCTGCTCCTCAGATGGCCAGGCAACCTCCAGTTCTTTTCTCCTGGAATGCCCCTCCCCCACACATCTCTCCTCTCCTGTCGCCTTTCTCAGAGAGCCCTTCCCAGGTAAAGTAGCCCCTGGCACCGTCCCTTGCCTCACCCAGTTTTACTTCCTTTACAGCGCTGACCAGTACCACAAACTATCTTATGTATTTACTTCTTGATTTCCTGTCCCCCCGCCCGCCCCGCCTCCAGGAGGATGAGAGTGTTCTGTCTCTTCTTCACATACAGCGCTATTCCAAGCACCCAGCACCCAGCACCGAGCGCTCACTCAGTACGTAGGGCTGCCTTCCCTCTCTCAGTCTCCGCCACTCTGCTCTATTTTTCTCCATAAAATGTATTCCCTTCCAACATATAGAATTGGCTTATTTATTATACGTATCACCTGAGTCCCTCACCAGACTATCAGTTCCAGAAGGGCAGGGATCTTGTTTTGTTCATTGTTGCATCTCAAACGCTTATAATGGTGCAAGGCACATAATAGGTGTTGGGCATGTATTTGTTGAATGAATGAATGAGTGACTGAGTGAGTGAGCGAGCGAGCGAATGAGGATCATAATCCCCACTCAGCAAAGAAAAAGGTCCCATAAAGAACAGATGCCTCCAGCAGGCCAGGCCAGTCCCCAGCGCGGAGGGCTGGCTGGGCGGATGGGGCGGAGCTCGCCGCAGGTGGGCGGGCGCCGAGTTCTGGCCCCGCCCCCGGAGGGCCCGCCCAGCAGGAGGCCCCGCCCCGCCTGTCAGCTGGCCTGTCGGCTCCGACCTTGCAGCGGCGCAGCCCGGGCTGGAGGCGGGAGCTGCGGAGCGGACGCCGCGGAGCGAGCGCAGCGCCGGGCGCAGTCTCCAATGAGCGACGCGGGGCCTGCGCCCCTGACGCCCGAGTCCGCTGTGCCCCCTCCTCACGACTTACCTGGTGCCAGGTAAGGTAACAGGTAAGAGCGCGGCACCTGGGATTCCCGACCCAGGTCATTTCCAGGCCCGGGTGCCAAGCGAGGCGCAGGCTGGAGGCGTCTGGGTCCCCCTGCCCCCGGGGTGCAGTAGGCATCTCCGTTGAAGGTGGGAGCCTCCTGAGAGCCTCCCCGGGCCCCGCTCCGGTACCTCCGCGTCCACGGCCGCAAGTCCTAACTCCACCCTCCCTCCCCCCGCCCCCGCTCCTGCAGCATCTCTTCCACGGCTGCAGGGTGAATGTTGCATTTTGTTTTTAACTCCTCAGGCGCTGCCACCTCTTAGAAAGTAGTGGGAATGCCTCTCGGGTAGGATTCTCGGATGGCCATCCACCCCGATCGGACTGGCTCGGCTTCTGAGGGCCCCCTCCCACCCCACCCCCACCCCGGCCCTCAAACGAGCGGGTTCGCACATCCTGAGCACCCGGGGGCCTCCTGGGCAGGCCGACCTTGGCGAACACTTACCCTCCGCCTGCCCCGTGGGCCCTTGGGCTGTCGCTGCCCAATCTCCTCCTGCATCCACCCTGGCAACAAGGCCTGGGGGCCCCCGGGCCCTCCCTGATTTCTGTGCCCCAGTTCAAACAGGGTGCCGCCTCCCCAGACCTGCCCTCTGCCCGCTATCTCTCCCCTGCTGGAGATAGGCTGGCCCGTTCCCTTCCTCAGTTGGTACAGAGGCCAGGTGACAAGAGCAGGCTTGTAGGAAGGCCACGGAGGCTCCACGGTTGCCCCACCTAGAGCCACGAGTTACCCGAAGCCACGTCCAAGTCCCAGCATGGGATGCAGTAGGCTCCGTGATGGTGCGAGTCAGGTTGGAACCACGTGGGCCAGCCCAGTCCTGGCCATGGGCCCAGAGACCCTGCAGTGACACCACCCCACACGCCTGACCTTGGTCAGCCAGTGTTCACTGAGCATTGAACGGGCCTTCCCACCAGTGGGCAGTGGCCCGCCGCGAGGGGTGACAAGTTCACTGGGTTCCGGGTGAACCGAACCACTCGGGCCCCCTGATGTCCTTCGGGACACTTTTCTTTCAGTCCTCGGGCAAGGGCCCACCCAGAGAGCGAAGCGCCGGGGGTCAGTCCTGCCTTTGCCTCCTCTCCGCATGTCAGCTTCTCCCAGCCTCTGCCCCCCATGCGTAAAGCGGGGGTGGTAACTGTGAGGGCCCCCCTCCCCGGCCCGGGCGAGGGGCCCCTGAGCTGGGAGGTGCCAGGCGCTTAGCCCATTGGCTTGCACCTAGTGACACCCCCTGAACAGTAGCAGTTGTGGGCACAATCGCAGTTGTTACTTCTTGTCCCCTGGCTGTTCCCACTTTGCCTTGCGTGCGCTGACAGCTGGAGGTGCCCCTGCCGCCATTTCCCCTACCAGGGGGAAAAGCCTTTGATAGGACCCCCGGGGGGATGGGGTCCCTTGCTAGTCCTGTGTTTGGGGTCAAGGCGAGTGCCATGTCAGACCCTGGGTGGCGTCTGCTTTGACCTCTGGCCACCACCTTGTCCTTGTCCCTTGGGTCACACATCATCCATGTGCCCACGATTTGCCCTCCAGCTGCACCTGGCTGAGTCCTCCAGGTCACGCAGGAGGAGCAGGGACATGCCTCCAGCTGTCCCATGGCTGTCTCGGCTGGTGGCCTTGTCCCCTTCGCTCTGCTGCCCAGTGACTTGAGAATAACAGAGCAGCCTGTCCCCACCGAGGGCTGTAACCCGAACCGAGCTGGAGGCTGCTCCCTGGAGCCTGGCGTGGGAGGACTCAGCACTGGGGCGCCGGGGACCCCGGTGCTGTTGCTGCTCTGTGTCCAGCTTCCTGGGTGACCCTAGAGAAGCCTCGCTGCCTCCCTGCCTGGACCTCAGTTTCCCCATCTATAAAACGTGGTTCAGATAGCCTGTGAGGCTGGAGTGCAAAATGTTGTTGACTTCAGTGAGAGAAACAACTGGGCCTCCCAGGTGGGTGGCTGTCCTTGGAGTACATGGGGCCGACAGTGCTCACAGCAGAGGGGTGTCAGAAGGAAGTCCCCCAGTGATGGCGGGGGGCATGGAGGGCTGGCCAAGCCCCTGGGCTGGTGTCTGACAGATCTGCCTCCCCTCCCACTTCAGAACCCCAGCTCCCTTCTGGGGACTGAGGGACTCCCTGTGCCCCCCACGAGGGGCGCTGAGCAGCCAACCGGCTGTGGCCTGGCCAGGCAGCCCCGTGCGGCAGCGGGCCAGCAGCACCCCCGAGCTCCGACCGCGCTCTCCCACTCACCGCCTCCCCAGACCTCTGCATTGCAGCAGACAGGAGCCGAAGTGGCTGCTCAGCCAGGGCTGGGGGGCGGAGCAAGGGCTGGCAGGGGGCGCCTGTCCCCTGTCTCCGCCTCTGCTCCCTCCGCTGTCCTTGGTCCCACTTAGCCCTGGCATCCCTCGGAGGGGCAGCTGCCAACAAGGCAACTGCCTCCCCCCGGGGACTTGAGCCTGCTGGGAGCGCTGGGGTGCAGGCAGGGCTGGGCTCAGGGGCCATGGCACCCCGGGTCCTCTCTGCTCTCAGGGTCCCCCCAGCATCCTTAGGGGAGGCCGTTTGGAAGGACTGGGACTCTAGAGTTGAGAGCACAGACTTCGGGACTCTGTGGTCTGGGTTCACATCCAGCTCTGCCACTTCTTAGCTGCGTGACCCAAGGCAGGTCACTTAACCTCGCTACGTCTCAATTTTCTCAACTCCAGAATGGTTCTTGTGCGTAGTAACACGTGTACATCACCTAGACCAGTGCCAGGCACACGTTAGCGTCCGTAAGTGTCAGCCATTGTTACTGCCCTGTTGCTGTCGTTGTTGTCGCGGTCGTCATTGTTGCTGTCAGCGGAGCCCTGTGGGGCCGACTCCGCTTCCCTTAGACAGACCTTCCCTGTCAGCGCCTGTTCTGCTGACAGGCGTTTAGCTTCGCAGTTTCGAGTCCAGACTCTGGAGCTGGACGGTTCCGATTCACATCCCAGCTCTGCTACTCACCAGCTATGGGGTCTCGGGCAAGTTAGCAACCTCTCTGAGCCTCAGTTTCTCCACCTGCTAAACAGGGGTGGTGACCGAGCACGTCTCCCAGAGCCTCCGGGAGGATTAAAGGAACTAACGTGGGTGAAGCACAAGGCACTACAAAGGGCCGGGCTCCGAGGAAGGGCCACGTTACCCACCTGCACACGGTGACCGGGCACCTGCTGGGCATCAGGCTTGAGGGACAGGTGCTGGGCTCTTTCATACGTAGGCTCAGGGCCTGGCCTGGGTCTTTGTCGGCAGAGTGATAATGGGGCACATGCTTTTGCCTTTCTGTGCCTCAGTTTCCCCAACTCAATAGGGATGTGGAAACCCCGGCCCCACGGCGTTTTGTGAGGTTTCTGTGACTGGTTTGGGCACCAGAGCTGGGGGGACAATCTCTCGGGCTGGCCTCCCTTCCAGGCTCCCAGGCCCTACGCAGCCCCCTCTCCCCCGCCCGGTGCCCCGTGCCTCGCCCCTCTGCCTGGGGACTTCAGAGCTTTGCCCGTTGTGCCAATGGGACAAGGAAGACCCCAAGAGAAAAGAATGAAACCAAGTCAGGAGGTGGCGTTCAGAGGCACATCCCAGCCCAGTCCCACTCCCAACTCCCACCTCCAGGCCCACGGTCCACGCCCCGCGGTGACCCTGCGGCTCCTGGGGTGTCCCGGGCCCTGGCTGAGTCCTGAGGGACTCATTTTGGGGGGTGCTTCAGACAAAGCAGACATGAAGCTCCAGAAAACCAGAGGGGCCTAGGGCTGGCCTAGGGGCAGGGCCAACCTGCGCTGGAGGAAAGGGTTCGGGAACTCCAGGCAGACGTGAAGACGCTGGGGCGCTCCCGGGCCTGCAGCTGCGCCCGCTTGGTCCGGAAGGGAAAGCTTTATTCGGGGAGGAGAGGACTGAGCAAACATTTAGGAAGCACCCGCTGTATGTGGCGATAACAACCAGCGGCAGTTATTATGTGCCAGGCACGGTGCCAGAGCTGATGTTCATGCTAAAACATGAAGAAACAGGTTCGGAGAAATGAACAGTAATAATAGTCGTAGCGACAACAGCGACCGTTGATCGCACCCGTGGCTTCTCGCACCTTCGTCTGCGACGTCTTCCAGGTCCCTGCCCCTCCGCTCTCTGGCCTTGTGGGGCCTCGTCAAGCCCAGCGGCACAGTCCCGCCTCAGGGCCCTGGCGCTGTCTGTTCCACCGCCCGGTGTGCTTCCCCCCACAGCCACATGGCGGACTCCCTCACCTCTCCCAGTTTTGCTCATGTGCAACCTTCACAGCCCAGTCCCCTCTGGCTGGACGCCCATTGAAAATCGCCCTCACCCCCCACCCCATGGCCCTCCATCCCCTACCCCACACTTTTCTCCCCCAGCCCTTATCTCTGACCTACTATATCACTTATCTATTCTGTTTATTCTCTGTCTCCAGCGTCACTGTGTCATCTCCGCAAGAGCAGGGATCTCTCCGTTTGTGTTCAGTTAAATCCCTAATGCAATGACAGAGTCTGGCCCACAGAGGGCGCCCCATAAATAGTCCTGGAATGAGAGGAATCTTCCCAACACCCTGGTGAAATCAGCTCTCTTGTCATTGCCATTTTACAGATGAGCAAACTGAGGCTCAGAGGTGCCAAGTGACTTGCTCGAGGCCACACAGCCAGCCCGCAGCAAACCGGAACCCCTGGCCGCGCAGACAATGGCTTTGCCCCCGTGAGTTGGAGCCTGCCCCCGCGCCTGGGGCCACCCACCGCCAGCCAGCAGGATGCAGCTGTGGAAGGCGGCGGCGGTGACCCTGGCCTTCATGAGCGCAGACATCGGCGTGACCACAGCCATCTATGTCTTCAGCCACCTCGACCGCAGCCTCCTGGAGGACATTCGCCACTTCAACATCTTCGACTCGGTGCTGGACCTCTGGGCGGCCTGCCTGTACCGCAGCTGCCTGCTGCTGGGGGCCACCATCGGCGTGGCCAAGAACAGCGCCCTGGGGCCACGGCGGCTGCGGGCCTCGTGGACGGTCATCGCCCTCGTGTGCCTCTTCGGGGGCATCTATGCCATGGTGAAGCTGCTGCTCTTCTCCGAGGTCCGCAAGCCGGTCCGGGACCCGTGGTTCTGGGCCCTCTTCGTCTGGACCTACATCTCGCTCGCAGCCTCCTTCCTCCTCTGGTGGCTGCTGTCCACGGTGCGGCCGGGCGGCAAGGCCCTGGAGCCGGGGGCTGGGGCCGAGGCCGAAGCCGAGGGCTTCCCCGGGGAGGACCAGCCCCGGCCGGAGCAGGCGTCGGGGGCCACGCTCCGGAAGCTGCTGTCCTACACCAAGCCGGACGTGGCCTTCCTTGTGGCAGCCTCCTTCTTCCTCATCATCGCGGCTCTGGGTAAGGGAGCACCCGCGGGGCCTGGTGGGCACCCAGGAGGTCCGCTTTTTAGGGCCGTGACCGCTTCTTCCCTCTTACGTTGCAGCCTTTGCTTACATGGTTCAAACACCAAATTGATACAAAAAGGCACACATGGAGACTTTCATTCCTAATTCCGCCTCTGACTACCCTGATCCCCCAGAGCTAACTATAGGAAAAGATTCCGGGAACTTCCGAGTGGACAGGAAGCCACTTTGATACATTTCTTGTATAAGTTTCCAGAGTATCCTTACGTGGCTCCAGACACATAAGGACACGTCCCTCGCCCCTTTTCTTACACCCTAGTTTGTGTCTTGCTTTTTTCACTTAACAATGTACTCTGGAATTTTCCCAATCGGTACCTTGTTCTTTCATTTGGTAGCATAATACACCACTGTGTGGTTATACCATTACTTATTTAGTAAGGCTCCTGTTGTTGGGCTCTTGGATTGTTTTGAGTCCTTTCCTCTTACGATAAACAAACTTGTCCACACACATTTCATGTAAATGTGGGTATATCTCTAGGATCAGTTCCTGGAGGCGGGATCTCCGAGTCCAAGCATTTTTGGCCATGAGTCAGAATAGACGAGAGACCATTCGAGTGTATTGTCTGGGGTAAGATTAAGTGCGGTTTCGTGAGGCGTTTGTTTCAGTCACTTGTGCCTGTGTGATGTCCAACGGATTTGTTGCTGGGGGTCCAAACAGTCCAAAAGCACCACTTTCGCCCACGGGTGGACAGGTGATGTGGCAGGGTGGAACGCCACAGGTTCTGGGGGCATCCGGGCCTGGTCCGAGCCCGGCCCTGCCGCTTCCCGGCTGTGTGACCGTGGGCGAGGGATCGAACGTCTCAGAGCTCCCCACGGAAGTGGGGGTGTTGTAAAGCCGGAACAGAGGCAGGACGAGGACACGCTCAGAGCCGGGCGCAGCATGGCGTGTGCTCAGGAATGTTGGCTGTGCTGAGCTGTTGCGCGTTTAACTGGCAGGGACAAAGTCTGGGGGCGGCCCGAGCCAGAGCGTCCTCGAGGAGGGAAGGAGGACCCCAGAGCGGGCGGGGCTGCAGCCCCTTTCCTCTCACTGCCTGCCCCCCACCCTCTCAGCTCGCCCGTGACTCCGTGTGGCTGTAAGAAAGCCGCCCGTCCGCTCTGTGTCAGACACGGCCCCTGTAAAACGGGGCAGCGAGAGCGCCGTCGCCTCGCAGGATGTGCGGGTCCGCGAGCTAATGGGGCCAGACACCTCGGCACAGAGGCGGGCTCTGAATGGGCAAACGCTTGGCCACCCGGCCGCTGGGGGCTGCCGGCGCCCCAGGACCTCGTCTCCGCGCCCGCCAGGGCCCCGGCGTCCGCTGCTGTGTGCTCAGGGGCGCAGACGTCCTAACAATACAGCTGAGCAGACGTGGGCGCACGCCGGACAGGGTCAAGGTTGGGGGCTCTGGCTCACGGTCAGGCCCTGGCTTCCCTGATGCCCTCGGGCAAGTGTGCGTGGCCCTGCTGAGCACCACCCGAAATGGGGGTTTGCTGGCTTATTGGGGGGCCTCAGTGAGATGACGCACGGTGAGATGAAGCGAGTGCTTCTGGAAGGTTAGGTGCCAGATGATGGTTGTTTAGTTTTCAGTCCACAAGCCTCCAAGAGGGTCCGGCTTTTCCTGCTACCTCATAATCTAGAGAAAAACTGCCCCCTGGGGAAAAAGGTTAGTTTTAATGTGGAGTGTCTCCTATTAATTGAAATTTCATGGCAACCCAACTCCATCAACTTGGACAAGTGATGTACTCTCTCTGAGCCTCAGTTTCCTCATCTGTAAAATGGGAAGCACAATAATCCCATGCCTGCCAGGATACTGGGAGGGGCTGGAGATCGGGAAGGGATGAGGGAGACGATGTCCGGGGCGGCACCGCTCCCTGCAGGAAGGCGTCTGGCTGTGGGGGGGCCGGCCGGGAGGCCAGCTGGCTGGAGCAGCGAGTGAGGGGCCAATGGGGGGAAGGCGGTCACAGGGCAGAGGCGACTGCTGTGAAAGCAGTCACCGGCAGGCAGGGCAGGGCCCCGCTGGCCGCTGGGAGGACTTTGACCGTCGCCCTGGATGAGACAGGAGCCACAGGACTGTTTTCATCTGAGAGGCGACAGTATCCGACTTTGGTTTCCCAGGCTCTGCTGTCCACTGGGTGGAGAGGAGGCTGATGGGAGCGAGGAGGGGAACAGAGAGGTAGCCCAGGCGAGGTCTGCCGCTTGGACCCGGGGCGGGGCAGGAGAGGCGGTGACCGTGGTCGGATTCCGGAGTTTTGAAAGTGGAGCTGGCGGGATGTGCTGGTGGACCGGAGAGTTTTGTGTGGCTCTTGTGCCGGTTGGACAAGGAGGTCTGCATAGCACCCTGCCCGTACCCAGTAAGGGCCCAGGAAACGTGTCGTGGTTGTTATTGGCATTTGCTGGAGCTTGTTGAGGTCAAAATGCGGCTGGAGCTTGCAGATGCCCTTTCCTCCCCTGACGCAGAACTTGGGCTCGGGTGGAGCTCCACAGCGGTGGCCCGGGACTCCGTCTGGCCGAGGACCATGGGGACAGGGCCGTCCAGGCTGCCACCCTGCGCAGGGTCCCTGTGCCAACGCCAGCAGAGGGCGCCAGAACCCCACAGGCGGCCTCACTGCCCCACCTGAGCCGGTCACGGGGAGCTGCCCACGAGTCATTCCCTGGCCTTGCTTGAGCGCCTACTGTGTGCGCAGCCCGAGCCAGGCTGTGGCCCGTGGAGAGAGCTGCCGTGAAAACAGGGGACCGCACCTGGTCCGACCACATTCCATCCCGTGTCCCTCATCTCCATAAGATGAGAGTGGGCATTCCGGACTTTGGGGACAGAAGGGGCAAGACCCCCCCATACCGGAAGCTGGTTTGGGCTTGAGTCCTGGCCCTTCCTCTTACTTGCTGTGTGGCCTCTGGCAAATTACTCAGCCCCTCCGAGTCCATAAATCCACCTCTGTGAAATGGGGGTGACGCCGCTTCTCCCTACCCGCCCACCCGCCCCGCCAGGATTCTTGTGAAGAAACAATCAGACCAGTGGGTAGGAAATAATCCGGCCAACTGGGAAGTGTCAGCCCAAGAGGCGCAGGTGGCCGTTGCCAGCGCGCTCGGAACGAGAAGGAAGTGAATTTGGCGTCATTCGGCCTGGGCAAACGTCACCGTCATCACAGATTGTTGGCTTCCCTCTCCTAAGTTGTGAGATGAGGTGACAACCCACTTCTGAGTCTGCATCTGCGCCGACGGCATGAAACGCTGCCCAGGCTCCGTGGCTCCCTGGCTCTGTGGCCAGGGCCTGGGAGCCACTGTTAACACTGACGCAGTCGGTGCAGAGCGACGAGCCCATGCTTCCTGTGTCCCCCTTTGAACCTCTGAAAAGTAGGGGGCTTCCTGCCGTACAGGGTGCCCCTCCCCGCCCCCGCCGTGGAGAAAAGAGGAGTTCGCTGGTGGCGCGTGGGCTTCTGGGGGCCCGGGGTGGAGGGTGGTTGCTGATGCCCCCTGAGCCCCCCATCTCCCGGCAGGAGAGACTTTCCTCCCCTACTATACTGGCCGGGCCATCGATGGCATCGTCATCCAGAAGAGCATGGAGCAGTTCAGCACGGCCGTCGTTGTCCTGTGTCTGCTGGCCCTTGGCAGGTAGCCGGCTCGTGACCCCACGCCCGCCCCCGAGGCCGACAGCAGGGGACTGAGGTCAGGGGCAGCTCCTGAGGGGACAAGGAGCCAGAGAGGCCCCAGAAGTGCCCATGGTGGACCCGCCCCTCAGCCAGTCACCATAGCAACCAACCACCAACCTGGCTCAACACAGATGTCCATTTGGCCGAGCCACACCCTCCTCCAGGATCGCCCCCTACACACACACATGCACCCTGGCCGTTTCCCAAGCAGGAAACAAGGGCCAGCCTTGTCTGCTTTCCTGCCAGGAGCAGGGTCCGGCCGGCAAAGTTGGGATTCTTGCCCCCGATAAGCACAGCCCCCTCCAGGCCCTCCCCTTGGGGGCTCCTGCTGGGCACTGAGCCCCAGGAGTGGGGTCAGGGCTGGGGTCCTGCCCGCCTCCAGCCCACGGGGGGTCCGGCCTGCCGGCGGCGGGAGGGGCAGCAGGGCTGGTCGTGGGCTGTCGGAAGGACGCCGTGCCATGTATAACATCTCTTATCTGCAATTAGCTCATTTGCCGCAGGTATTCGGGGCGGCATTTTTACCCTCATATTTGCCAGACTGAACATTCGCCTCCGAAACTGTCTCTTCCGCTCACTGGTGTCTCAGGAGACGAGCTTCTTTGACGAGAATCGTACAGGTTGGTCCTCCCGGGGCCTCGGGGAGCCCGGGGCTGGGCCCCATCGGGGTGGGCCCGCCTCACGCTGAGAAAACAGGCGGCCGTGTGTAGTCGCAGCCCCGCTGGCTTTCTCGCCGCTCGGCTCAGGATGGGCCCGTCCCAGGAGGCAACGCGGTCCTCTGAGCGGCCTGAGCCCTGGGGAGCTGGCCCGCTGCCCGAGGTTGGGGGGGAACTGCGGCCGCTGTCGGGCTCCGGCCGGGCCCCCCGAGGTCCCCGTGGTGGCAAAGGCCTTGCTTCCCACTGCCTTCTGGGAACCACAAGGGCCGGGACCACCCACGCCTGTGGCCTAAAGGGCCCAGGTCTCACGGGGAGAGTGGGGCAGGGGCGCAGGGCAGGGCAGTGCAGTATCCGGCCAAGATCCCAGGCTCTGAGATGGGCCAGCCTGGGTGCAGGGCCCGGTTCTGCCGCTCACCATCCACCCCCGGGCCTCTGTCTTCTCATCTCTGAAACGGGAGCGATAGTAGTGGCCGCCCCGTGGGCTTGGGAAGCTCTCAGCTCAGTGCCCAGCGGCTGGAAACAGGGCCTCAGCGCCTGCCTCGTCCTGCAGCCCCGATCGTTATTCCTGTACCAGGGAAGAGGGGAGTCACTGCCCACAGTGATAGGGAGGTGACCCGGCTTTGGTTCCAGCTCGGTCCCAGACCCCCCGTGTGGCACAAGTCTGAGCCCCGTCCTCTCTCCTGTGGGATCTAATGTCACGTGGCTGGTGACGAGTGTTGGGCTCGGAGAAGCCACAAGGGGACAGCTACTCTCCTCCCCTCCCCACCCCCCGGAGGCGGGGGTGGGGCCGAGCGCCCCGGTGCCTCTCGGTGGCCCCCGCCCCCGCCGCAGCAGCCCCGTTGCTGCAGCGGGAGCTGAGCTGCCTGTGTTCCAGGGGACCTCATCTCCCGCCTCACCTCGGACACCACCATGGTCAGCGACCTGGTCTCCCAGAACATCAACATCTTCCTGCGGAACATGGTCAAGGTCACGGGCGTGGTGGTCTTCATGTTCAGCCTCTCGTGGCAGCTCTCCTTGGTCACCTTCATGGGCTTCCCCATCATCATGATGGTGTCCGACATCTACGGCAAGTACTACAAGGTAGGCTCGCCTGGCGCTGCTGGGCCCTGGGACCCCTCGGAAGGGACTCGGCCCCGGGGGCCGGCGAAGGCCTTGTCAGTCAATGAATAGTCATTGAGCACCCAGATGCGGGATGAGACAGGTGGCGCTCCTGCCCTCAGGGGGCTTACATGCTAGCAGGAGGGGGGAGGATGTCACAGCAATGACAAAAATAACAACAGCCACACATAATGCAGTAAAAGGTAAGCCCCAAGGAGACGGAAGGGAGGAGGAGACTGATTGGGGGCAGTTGTGGCTTTAAACAGACCTTTCTGGGAAGGTGACATTTGAGTGGCGAGTCATCTCCGGGAAGCACGTTCCAGCAGGGGCACAGCCCGTGCAAAGGCCCTGGGGCGGGAGCGTGCGCCGGAGGAGCCTCCGAGGGGCTGGTGCAGTGAGCGAGGGGACAGGAAGGGAAATGAGGGCAGGGAGGTGACGGGCCAGGTGGCACAAGCCCCTGTGAGAACTTGGGTGTTCGCTCTGCGTGAGGTTTGCTCTCTTTCTGTAGAGCATGTGTTCATGGGGTGGGGAAGGGGGGGTGAGCGTGGGCGCCGCGGGCAAGGCCCTCACCCAGGATGCAGGTACAGGCAGGCTGCTGCCCCCGCCCCCCGCAGGCAGCTCACAGCACGGCCTGAACCAGGCTCCTGCTTGCCGCTGAGCCCTCAGGGACCCAGGCTGGTTGGGACAGCCACAGAGCCCTCCCCGAGGCCCGCGGGGCGGGCTCCCGGAGCAGAGGCTGTAGGAGCCCTTGGCACCTGGGACCTGCGGCCGGCTCCTGAAGGCCTCCACTCCCCACCAGCCACGTGTCGCTTTCTGGCAGAGCCCAACCCCCCCAGGGGGCCCTCTTGCCCGCCTGCCGTCCTGGGCCACAGCCCCCCTGTTTTCGTCCCGAGTAGAAACAGTAAATACATCAGTTGGCACTGGAGCCTGCTCCCTTCCTGCGCTCCGCACCCCACCCTTCCTGCCTTCCTGCCAGCCCACCCCCTGGGATGGGGCAGGAAACCCTGCGCCCCGCCACCCCCCCACCCCCACCTCTGTGCACACCTCCGGCCCCGCCTCACGTTCAGCCCCAAGTCCAGCCAGGCGGGGCCTCTTCGCATACCTGGAAGTGCTGACTGTGGCCGAGTCATGGCCACAAGCCACACACCGCCCACAGCCAGACATGACTCAGGCACGGCCGGGCCCCCAGGTGCTGAGCACACTGCGTACTTTTAATGGCTGGGCGTGACTCAAAGGTCAGGCCTGGCCCTTTGGGCAGCCTCCCTGGCTGGTTGGCGAACCTCCGTGCGGTGACTCCTGCAAAGCCCGGGGTGCGCTGCCAGGGTGCTGCCCTGGGGGTCAGGCCTGTGGAGCCGTGTCCCAGCCGTCCCCAGAGACACCCCACGGTCCGGGCAGGTGTCATCGCCTGTGCCCTCCGCCACCTCCTGGAGCTTGGCTGGGAGTCCCGCAGCCTCGGCGCCGACCCTCGGCTCCCGCTGACGTACGGCGTGTGGGCGACGTAAACGGCGCCCTCACAGGGGTGGCTCCGGGGCAGTGGGCAACCCGGACACCGTCCAGGCGCCCCTGCGCTGACATGCGTGCCCGGCAGGTGTGGAGCCCCCTTTTCCGAAAGGATCGCCCAACACCGCACGGCCAGGCAGGACCCGCTCTGAGTGCGGGCGATGAGCTCGTGGTCAGCCCCTGTCCCTCGGGAGCAGGGGCCTGGGGAGCTTGTCCCCAGCACCCCGCTAAAGCCTGTCCTCGCAGCCCATCCAGTCAAGCCGGAAGGAGAGCAGGGAGAGAGGGGCCTGGGTCCCACCCTTTTGTCCCTGGAACTCCCCGCACAGAGGGCGCCATCCACGGGGAGAGAAGCGCAGAGGGGCCTGGGGGCTCAGGGAGACAGCGAGGCCGCCCGTGTGGGGCCTTGTCCTTCTTGCCCCATTCCTGCCCCCCGCCCCGCAGAGGCTCTCCAAGGAGGTCCAGAACGCCCTGGCCAGGGCCAGCAACACGGCTGAGGAGACCATCAGCGCCATGAAGACCGTCCGGAGCTTCGCCAACGAGGAGGAGGAGGCGGAGGTGTACTCGCGGAAGCTGCAGCAGGTGTACAAGCTGAACAGGAAGGAGGCGGCCGCCTACACGTACTACGTCTGGGGCAGTGGGGTACGTGCCCCTGGCCCCGGGCGGGCCCCGCCGTGGCGGGGTTGGGGGGCGTCACGAAGACGGGGGTCCTTGCTCCGGAACACTGGCCAGGGCCCTGCACGCGGGCGTTGGCCGGCTGCACTCGGCCTCGCTCTCTCCCCGCTCTGCTCTCTGCGTGTGTGCGGAGAGGCCTTCCGGGGAAAAAAACGCAGCCTCCAGGTGAACGTCCCCACACGGCCTCTGCTGTCCCTACGCGTGGGGTCCAGCAGGAGCTCTCTCCCCAGCTGGGGGCGCCTGCTGCCAAGGTGGGAGTCGCCCCGAGGCCGCTGCTGGCAGGCCCTAGGCCACCCCCACACGGGCCCAGTCAGAGGCTCCCCTCCAGGGTTGGGGGGTGAGCCAGCCCCTCCCTGGAGGATGCGAGCGCTTGGACCCGGTCTTGTCTGCTGGCCACATCTGGGAGGTGGGCTCCTGGGGAAGCAGCTTGGCTGGGAAACGGAGGGTTTGGCGTTTAGGGGAAGGAGGAGCTGGTGGTCTACAGGGGAACCAGGGGACAGGCCGCTATCAAAAGTGCCCAGGCAGGAAGGAGAAGGGGCCTGAAGTCCGGCCAAGCTAGCCTGTCAGCAGTCTGTCCGCCAGCAGGGTGCCTTTTGGGCTTGGGGCGGGGGGGGGGGGTCGGGGGGGCCCGGAACGAGCTGCCCTGGATGCTGTTCCCACCCTTCCCGCAGAAATTCCCCCAGGCGCTGGAGGGGGCGGCACACAAGGGTCCCCGGACAGCCCTTTATGGAGCCTGGTGCGGCGAGGAAACCCAGACCTCGCAGCCCGGCTCCGCCTGGCTCGCGGTGCGCCCTCAGCCAGTGGGCGCGGCCTGTCTGACCCACAGTCTTTCCCGTGAGGAAAGGGACACACAGCTCCCGCGGGGCTTCACGGAGGGCGTGGGGTCCGCTGTGTGTGCCGAGCCGAACAAAGAAAGCCTTGCTCTCAGCCAAGCCCCTGGCCGCTCCCGCGGGGACCTTTGCAGGGAAAACTCCACGCGGGGGCGGGGGCAGGGGCGGGGGCGGGGGTGGGGGTGACAGGCAGGCGCCAGCCTGTGGGAGGAAGGCCCGCAGCTGCCCCGCCGGCCCCGCCAACCCCGCCGCCCGCGCCGCCCCCGCCGCCCTGCAGCCCAGAGGACCAGGTGCGGGCCGAGCCGCCGTGCCCAATGCCTGCCTGCCTCTGTCCCCAGCTCACGCTGCTGGTGGTCCAGGTCAGCATCCTCTACTACGGCGGCCACCTCGTCATCTCCGGGCAGATGACCAGCGGCAACCTCATCTCCTTCATTATCTACGAGTTCGTCCTGGGAGACTGCATGGAGGTGAGGGGCTGGCTTGGGGCCGGGGTTCCGGGGAGAGAGAAGGGGATGGGGAACAGGGTTCTAAACGGCTGCTCCAGGGAACGAGGGATGTGGGACCTCCTTCTAAAGTCGGTAGGGGCGAGAGCACCATAGTACCCATACCGATAATACAACCAGCAAGTGACAGCAACAAAGATTATTCCAGAAAATGCTCACAAGATGGTGAACACACAACGCAATATACAGATGATGTAGCATAGAACTGTACACCTGAAACCTGTATAATTTTATTAACCAACGTCCCCCCAATAATTTCAATAAATAAATGCTCATAAGAGGCCAGGGCATCGCGGAGGAGCCCCCAAAAAGGAAAACCAGAGGCCTCAGGGCTGCCCCCGTTTCTCGGAAGATGAAACAGAGGCTCAGAGACATCAGGCGCCTTGACCTCCACCTTTGTGGGGACCCGGGTCCAAAGGCAGGCACGGCTGCCCCTGTCCGAACCCGCTTCGACACAAAGGCTGTTCTAGGTCGTGTCTTCCCTTGGGGCCCACCAGCAGCGCCTGAGGCAGGGGCCAGGGCACTTGTGCCCCCACCGTGGGGACGGGGGTTCGGATCCTCCGCCCCGCCCCTGCTGGCCCTCAGGCGCGGCGGGGGGTGCCTCTGTGACCTCGGCAACAACGCTGCAGACCCACCTGCAGGTTGTTAAATCTCCACATTGTGCGTGTGGATTTGTAAATGCGCAAGGACAAGGCTGGAACGATGGAGAGCCGTGGTCGGCCCGGGGGTGCGGGGCCTGAAGGGCAATTTCTGCGCTTCATGATCATCATCATCACCATCACACCTTGATATTAAGGGTGATAGTCACAGCTGCGGGGCGCGGGGGGCTCACGCGGTGCTCAGCACCGTCCGCGCAGAACCATGGCCCTGGGCGCAGCATTGCCTGCCTCGCTTCGCCCACCCAGTCGCGGCACCAGGGCCTGGCCTGGGAGCCAGGCGTGCCCCTGCCGGCTGTGCTGCCTGCAGGGAGCCACCTGAACCCTCCGTGCCTCAGTTTCCTCATCAGCAAAGAGTAGGCAATGACAGAGCTACCTGGCAGCATAGCCAAAGTGCTCCGTAAAATGCATTGCCATTATTATTCACATTTATATCGTGCTTTCTTTTTTTTTTTTTTTTTTGCCCAAGGAGATGTATAGTATAAATGAAGACCCATTATTATTTTTTTTAATTGGAATGATCCAGCACCAGCAGTGGAGGGAGGAAGGCCGCATCCCTGTTCCGCCACATCCTGGCGGGCCCCTTTAGCTTCCCTGTGCGTCCGGTTCCTCCTCTGGGGCTGATAGCACCCGCCCCGCTGGGCGGCCCTGCGGCTTAGCTCTGCCGACCACGAGGCCTTGGCTCCTCGGTCTCAGGGTTTATGACTGCTGTCCTCGTTTTTCATTATTGTCATGACCTGGCAGGTGGGGCCCCAGCAGCCTCCCGCGGCCCCCAGAGCTGACGCTGCGTCCTTGCTCTTCCTGCAACCCCTTCATCTCCTGGCACCTCGGGCGGGGGCGTCCCGGGAGCTGGGTGTCGGTGGGACAGGAACTGTCTCCTCCCCCACAGTCCGTGGGCTCTGTCTACAGCGGCCTGATGCAAGGAGTGGGGGCGGCCGAGAAGGTGTTCGAGTTCATTGATCGGCAGCCAACCATGGTGCACGATGGGGACTTGGCCCCGGACCACGTGGAGGGCCGTGTGGACTTTGAGAACGTGACCTTCACCTACCGCACTCGACCCCACACCAAAGTCCTGCAGGTGAGAGGGGTGCTTGAGACCTGTCCATCCTTTCCCTCCTCCCGTCTCTCATGCCTCCCACGCCAGGCCAGGGCAGTGCAGCCAGGAATACACAAGACAGGCCCCGCAAGTATGCAGTTGGGCTGTAGCTGGAGGAGGCTGATTGTTAACAGAAGGGTGGCATGGTAGCAGTCACCTGCAGAGATGCTCTAACAGTCAAGGAGGGCTTCTTGGAGGAGGTGACATTTGCGCTGACACCTGAACCAGGAGCAGGAGCCAATCAGGCGGCTTTCGGCAGACTATTCCTGGCAGAGGAAACAAGTATGAAAGTGCTGCCAGGTCCTAGAAAGGACAGCATTCCGGAAGCTAGCAGTGCCCGGCCGCGACAAGGGGTCACGGGGGGGCCTGGGAAGGGTGCCGGCCTGGGCCTGGGGCCAGAGCATCGGAGCCGGCGGCCCCACGCCGTGTCTGCACGTTCCTTGCAGAACGTCTCCTTCAGCCTGTCCCCAGGAAAGGTGACAGCGCTCGTGGGGCCCTCGGGCAGCGGGAAGAGCTCCTGCGTCAACATCCTAGAGAACTTCTACCCGCTGGAGGGCGGCCGCGTGCTGCTGGACGGGAAGCCCATCAGCGCCTATGACCACAAGTTCCTGCACCGAGCGGTAGGTGCCGCGCCTTCGCTGCTGCCCCTCCGCCCTCTCTCTGTCCCAGCTTCACTCTCGGGAGCCCCAGGGGGCACAGAGATGAGCCTCCGGTACCCACACGGCTCAAAAATAGTCACCGACGGAACACCTCTCAGCGCGAGAAGTAGAAGCAACACCTTGCCCACCTTTTACGCTCCCCGTGGTCTTGCTTTTCTCTCGCTTCACCGCGCCGGGGCCTCCTGCACGGCACAGCCATGTCCTGCCTGGGTTTGAGCTTCAGGCGGGAACCACGCCGGGCGTGCTTGCCTGTGTCTTGCTCCCCGCTCGACATTATTTGTGAGCCGTCAGCGTGAAGCCGCGGTTGTAGTTCCCTCGTCGTCCCGCCTGGTCGGTAACTCACCGTGTAAACATGTCATGCTCTGTTCTGCCTCCTGCTCTTAATGGGTATTTGGGCCGTTTCCTGGCGTTTGCGGACTCCAGCCGCTCCGACGTGGCCAGTCCCTGTTCCCCGGGGCGCGGAGGCGGAGCCCCGGCGTCAGTGGTTATGGCCACCAGGCTGGGCTGACCGCTGCGCGGCCCACGCGCGGCGGGTGAGCGTTCCCGTGACTCCACAGTGACGCCACCTCCGGTGCTTAAAGGAGGCTATTACAACCATGCGGTGTTGGGTGATTTTCAGAAAAGGGGCCTCCACCCACATCAGCGCAGGGACGCCCGGACGCGTTCAGGTTGCCCGCTGCCCCAGGGCCACCCGCTGTGAAGGGCGCCGTTTAGATCACCCCCACGCAGCAAACCAGCGGGAGCCTGAGAGTCGGGGCAGCGGCTCCCTGGAGAGTCCTGGCGGGGGGTAGAGGCCACGGGCTGTGGACCCCGCCCACCCAGGCGCCCGTGGCCTGGGCCGGTGGCCGAGAAGTGGTCTCAGGTGCGTGCCCCCAGGCTGCGGCCCCGCTGCGCTGTGTGAGGGCCCCGGCGTCCCGGGCAGCGCCGTTCGCGTGCGCGGCTGCTTCCCATCCTCGACGGCGGCTGGTGGCGGCCCTGAACGGTTGGTTGCCCGCTGAGGTGCACAGGGAGCTCATCACAGTGTTGGTGCTCCCCTGACTACGGAAGACGTGAAGCGCCTTCCCACCAGGGTGTTGGCCACGTGGATTTCCTCCTTGACTACCTTTCCTTTCATTTAGATTTAAAACCTTCATTTTCATAAACCCAAAGCAATGAAGCACAGCAATCTAGCCATACTCCCCAAAAACTTCTCATGAAGCGGTGGGCGCCCCTTCCGCCCCTCCTTTTGAGTCCCGCCCCGTGGGGGCCTCCCCTCCGGTTTAGCCGCCCCTCTGGCCCGTATTCTGTCTTTATATACACCTGCCACTGCGTAAAGACACATAGATAGTTTTTTAAAGAAAAATAGAACCATGCTCCTGTGTGTGTGGCAATTTGACTTTGTGGAGGCGCGGCGGTTATTTAACCGATCCCCAACTTACGGGCAACCAGATAACAGTGATGACGATGCTGCTGTTGGCCTCGTTCCAATGCTGTGCTCCCTGCTCTCGCTTTTGGCGGCCAAATTTCCCACAACTAGGACACTATTTGACGGCTCCTTTAAATTGCTGCCCTAGAAGGGAGGCAGGCTTTTGTGGCCGGGCTGTGCGGTCCCCTCCTGCCTCCTGGCGAGAACGGGATCCCTCGCAGAGAGATCCTCCCCCTTCCCTTTCCCTCTTTTTTCTCCAGGGCAGGGCAGACTGCAGGCTGTCCCAGAGGACACGGTGGTGGGTGTCACAGCCCCAGCCTGCTGGTGGGGATGGCCGAGGGCCTGTGAGGGACGGGGCCTCCTCCCCTGGGGGGAAGGAAGCACGGCAGCGGAGCGCGGCGGCCCCAGGTGCACCGGGATCAGACGCCAGGCCTGAGGCCCCCGGTGTCCGCCGGGCAGGGGCCGGCGAGGGTCCTGGGGACAGCTGGCTGGACACCGGCTCCCAGCCGCTCACGCCGCCTCCCCCGCCGCCCCGCAGGTCTCCCTTGTGAGCCAGGAGCCGGTGCTCTTCGCCCGCTCCATCACCGACAACATCGCCTACGGCCTGCCCGCTGTGCCCTTCGAGGCGGTGGTGGAGGCCGCGCAGAAGGCCAACGCCCATGGCTTCATCATGGAGCTGCAGGACGGTTACAACACAGGTACCCACGCCATCCCCCCGGCCCCCAGACGGGCCCTCTGCCCGCCCACCCTTCCTAGGACAGCGAAAACCCCGCCCAGGTGCGATATGCACCACGTGAACGGAACCACTTCCCAGCGAGCCCTTCAGTGGCATTCAGTACATTCACGATGCTGTGTGGCTGCCTCTCCAGTCCCAAACAGTCTTATTGGAAAGCAATATATATGTAGGACATTAATTAATTAGCTACCTAATTATGCATTAATACAATAATAGTTTAGTTTAATACATTGAACAATAGAATAATTTATGTTCTATATTACATTTAATATACTTTAAATTGCCAGCTCTGGAAAGGGGGCCATCCACATGTTTCAAACTGTATATAAAATAATATACAACGAAACCTTTATTCTGTCCCTTTCTCTACCCCCGGTTTCCTCCTGCCCCACCAAAAACTTCTTTTACTAGTTCCTTACGTGTCCTTTTGGAGTTTCTTTATGCAAATATAAAGGCCTGTGTTTATTTCCTCCCACCCTTTTCCAGGAAGGAGACAGCTCCTTACATTCTGCACCTGGTGTGTTCAACTTAACACAGTGCCCTATGACCTTCTCCTTGGCGCCTAGAGAGCTGCCTTGTCGCTCTGGGGGAGGGGGGGTGTGCGCGCGCACGCACGGGTGTGCAGTAGAAGCGTTCCCCGCGTCCGCTGACGCGGCCGTGTGACTTTTATCCGTGTGGTGTGGTTGTGGTGTGTCATATCGAGCGGCTCGCAGGTACTGAACTACCCTTCAACCCTGCAGTAAACCCCACTTCATGACGGCGTGTCACCCTTTTGAACATGGTTTGCTATTATTCTGTCGAGAATTTCTGCATCTGTGTTAATTCGGGAAATTGGCCTGCAGTTTCCTTTTGCTGTATCTTTGGTTTTGGCTGGTGCGGTAGAATGAGGTTGGCAGCACAGCTTCCTCTTCAGGCTTTTGGAATTGCCTGAGAAGGCTGGGTGTTGGCTCTTCTCTAAAGGTTTGGTAGAATTCACCTGGGAAGCCTTCCGGTCCTGGCCTTCTCTCAGCTGGGAGTGTTTTGATTGTTGCTTCAATTCCATTGCTGGTAATCAGTTCACACTTTCTGTTTCTCCCCGGTTCAGTTTTGGAAGGGTCTATGATTCTAGACATGCATCCATTCCTTCTAGGCTGTGTAATTTGTTGTCACATTGTTTGCAGTGTTCTTTTTAAAAATGTACTGTGTACTGGGTCCAGGTTGTTTGTGCTGTTCTCTAATGACCCTTTGTTGTTCTCTGACATCAGCTGTAACTTCTCTTCCATTTCTGATTCTGTATTTGCGCTTGCTCTCTTTTTTGTTCACAGGTCTGGCTAAAGGTTTATCGATTTTGTTTATCTTCAAAGAACTAGCTCTTAGTTTCATTGATCTTTCCTATTTTTTTTTTAGTCTTTGTTTTGTTTCCACTCTGATATTTATTATTTCCTTCCTTCTGCTTGCTTTGGATTTTGTTTTGTTTTTTTAACAGCTACATGGTATCCCAGCACACAAGTTTTATAATAATTTACTTAATAAGTAATTCCTTTGGTTTCCTGTTGAACATCTGCATAGGTATTTGGTCCTTGTTATTTTTTGCAACACTCGCTCAGTGAGGGGCCAGAGCCTGTGCCTGCATGGCTGTGCGCGGGGAGTTCATCTGCAGGGAACTCAGAGGCGGGTTGGCTGGCGCAGGGCTGAGAGTTTGCGGTCGGGGTCCACAGACCCCGAGGCGCGTGCCCTGCAGCCCGTGCCCGGGAGCACAGGGGTCACGCCCACGCACATGCCCCAGAAGATGGGGCGCCCGTCTCCCCACACCCCCACCAGCACGGCATGTTGTCAAACATTTGGGGTTTTACCAAATCAAAGGGTAAAAATGATTATCTTGGTTCCAACTGCATGGAGCCGTAATTTGCCTGCCTCTCGTGGACAGGGAGGGAGAGCGGCCTTTGGTGAGTTTCGAAACTGCTGGCAGTCCCAGCCGGCGGCGCCCCTGACCACACTTCTCCCGGAGAGCACCGTCCCCGTGGCAGCAGGGAAAGTGGGGGAGGGGGCCTCGTGCGCGCCCGCAGGGCTGCCTGGCCTCACCCCCGACCCCGCTCCCCTGCCCCTGCCCCTGTGCCCGCAGAGACGGGGGAGAAGGGCGCCCAGCTGTCGGGCGGCCAGAAGCAGCGGGTGGCCATGGCCCGGGCTCTCGTGCGGAACCCGCCGGTCCTCATCCTGGACGAAGCCACCAGCGCTCTGGACGCAGAGAGCGAGTACCTGGTGAGTGGCGGGTGGCGGGGCGATGGGCAGGGCTTGGGGATGGCCGGGGGCTTCCCCGGACCGTCAGCTTCCTCGACGGGGGCGCTTTGGTTTGAGGGTCCAGTCCTGTGCTTGTCCCTCGTCTCTCTGGATCCGTGTGCTCCTCGCGGGCGCCGGGGCCACAGCGGCGGACTGGGCAGCCAGACGGAGGCCCCCGTCCCCATGGGGTCTCCACCTCAGGGGGCAAGACGGACACTAAACAAGGACACGAGCACGGGTTCTACCTGCGGCCCCCGCTCCGTCGAAAGTGCAGCAGTCGTGTGACAGAGATATCAAGGGGGTCACCACGGGCACCAAGAAACAGCTGGACGTCAGCTGGCGCTGCAGGGTCAGGCCGGACTCAGTGACCGCTGTCCTTAGGGAGGAGCCGGGCTCAGGGGGACCCCACCAGCGGCCGTTTAAGTCAGGAGCCTGTCCTCCTGCGGAGACCAGGACAGAGCCCTGCCCACCCTGACGAGGACACATTCCGGGAGGGTTCTTGGGGCTGAGGCAGGCCCTCTTGTTTCAGGGCGCTGCCGTGCCATCTCCAAGGGACAGAGGAAGGGTTTGCGGGTACAAGTCCTTCCGGGCAAGTGCTCAGAGCGCGGGCTGCCGGGTGTTTGCTGGGGCGAGCAGCCAGGCCTCCCGGCTGCGCTGACGCTGCGGGGGCGGGGGCGTCCTGGGCCCAGGGCCGTGTGCTGGGGAAGCCCTCCGGAGCGCGGCCGCCTCTCGGCGCCAGCGGGGGACGGAGGCGCAGGGGCCCGGAGTCCGCAGTGAGCACCGACCAACAGAACCCAGGTCACAGAACCAGGGTCGTCAGGTGCCACATGAGCCAAGCCCCGGGAGGAAGGAGGGAGCTGCGGGGCACTCTGGGGTGCGGGCAGCAAGTGCAGAGGCCCGGGGCAGGTTCCGAGGGCCAGTGTGCCTGGAGGTCAGGCGAGGACAGAGCCAGAGGGACACGCGCGTGCTTCGGGCCCTCGTCAAGAGTTGGGCTTCCAAAAAAATGAATAGATTTAATTGTTCAGAGCATTTTTTGGTTTAGAGAAAAGTGCAGAAAGGACAGAGAATTCCTGTTTAGCCCCCTTTCCACCCATAAGCAGTCCTCCTTGTTGTTAACATCTCCCAAGATCGTGGTGCATTTGTTACACCTGACGATCCGAGGCGGCTGCATTGTTACTGACTGCGGCCTGGTTCCACGTCAGATGTCACTGCTGTGCTGTGCACTCTGTGGTTTTTGACAAATGGAGAGTGTCATGCATCTGCCACCAGCCCTAAGCCTCCCTGGGGTGTTTGGTTTTATCCTAAGTGGGACAGGAAGCCATCGGGGGACAGGAGGCGGGACTGATGAAACAGCTTTGAGCCCACGTGGGGAGTGGAAGGGGGAGCTGGGCGGGAAGGCGGCAGAGGTGGGGCGACGGGGCAGAGCGAGGTGCGGGGGAGGGGCGCCGCAGGGCTCGCCAGGAGCTGGATCTGGGCCACCGGGAGAATGAGGAGCGGGGGCGGAGACGTGAGCGTCAGGGCTGGGGGCGACCGCTGACCGAGGCCAGAGGTGACGGGCCAGAGCCCAGCTGCCGGCCCCTGAGCGCTGCCCCTGCCGCCGGGCGCCGCCCCCGTGGACAGAGGCCCAGGCCGCAGGCCGCGGGAGCCCTGGCCTCGCCAGCGAGGGGCCGAGCGCGGAACGGCAGGAGGAGGCGCAGAGCCGAGCCAACGGGGCGGGCGGGGGTGGCTGCTGCTGCGGCGGCGCCACACGAGCCGGCTCCTCCTGTCCCCGCAGATCCAGCAGGCCATCCACGGCCGCCTGCAGACGCGCACGGTGCTCATCATTGCGCACCGGCTGAGCACGGTGGAGCGGGCGCACCTCATCGTCGTGCTGGACAAGGGCCGCGTGGTGCAGCAGGGCACCCACCAGCAGCTGCTGGCCCAGGGCGGCCTCTACGCCAGGCTGGTGCAGCGGCAGATGCTGGGGCTCGAGCCCGCCCTGGACTGCGCCGCCGGCCACAACGCGCCGCCAGGCGATGGCTGTGGCAAGGCCTGACCGTCGGCCCGGCGCCTCCTGGGGCGAGGCCCCCGCGCCCGCCCGGCAGAAGCACCCACGGAGGCGGCCCAGGCCCACGGCCGGGAGGGCGGCCCGCACGTCCCCCGTGTGCTGCTCCCTGCATCCTGCCCTGGCTCCCGTCCCGTCCCCCCCCCCCACCCTGGCGGCCGTGGCTGCCCCTCCAGCCCGGGCAGGGGAGACGCCGCGGGGTGCTCCCTCTGGTCTCCCGGGGCTTCCGAGCAAAGGTATTGTCACCTTTTTAAACTAAGATCTTACCAGGTTTATTTCACCGCTTGGTTGGATGGGCCCCAGTCCACTCCCAGATGTCAAAAACGTTTTTCTTATTGGGAGTAATGGTGGGCAAGGTCACTGAAATGTTCTAGAAACTTCTGAGCTAGGAGTGAATGACCCTTCCTAATAGCCTGGGGGAAGTCGGAGGGAACTAGGCCTCCACCCTTTTCCATTGGAGAGAAGGGACTTCCCTGTCCCCACAGGAGGACGCGGGGTGGGGACTTTCTGTCTCTCCCTCTTCCCAGCTTCATGAGTCAGGCCCGGGGTGGGCAGGGAGAGCGGGAGACGCCTGTGCGTCCATCACCCCCGCCGCCCTGCGAAACCTAAGCCAGTCTCACTGTGAACCACTACAAACCTTAACTGGGGGAGTGAGGGGCTGGTCAGGCCTGGCGGAGCCTCGGGGTGACCGGGCCCAGCACCCAGCTTTAGCCCCTCTCCCACCCCCACTGGCTGGCAGGCCCCCCCCTACCCCGGCGACCCCACCCTGCTGTTCCGAGGCCCTTGGATGTTCAGGAACGGCACTCTCTTCCCCAGTCAATAGACGGGATGGCCACAAAGTCCCGGGTCTGGCTTTGCGGCAAGGCTGCAAGATGCTGGGAGAACCTGGTCAATAAAGTGTACTACCTCTGACCTCTTCCTGGCTGGGTTTTTCCATCAGACCCAGCTCTCCTCCCTGCCCTGCCTGGGCTAGTTGCGGGGAGCCTTTGGGGGGTCTCGGGCCCCCCTCAGGGTCCGGGGGTCCCTGGGCCCCAGGCTGGCCTTCACGGTTGCTGTCTCCGCGGGGCCGTGACGGGTAAGGAGGACCTGCCTCCCCTACACCCCCACACCCACGGCCTCCCAGGGAGGCCGAGACTCTGCAAACGCCACGTGCTGTTCTCCGTCAGGGGCCAGGCTCCTCGCGGCCTCGCCAACCCGGGGGCTGAGAAGTGGTACCGCGCAGGACAGCTCAGTCGGGTGGCTTCTTGGGGATTCTTTGTACCTGCTGGGTTGTGCCGAAGTCAGGGTCCCAGGAGGGGCTGGGACAGTGGCTTTTTTTTCCCCTTCCTGGGACCCCGACTTAAATACTCTTTGCCAGCTGGTAGAGAAGTATTTCAGTGTTTTACCTGCTGGTTCACTGCCTCTGCATAGACCAGCTCAGTATCTGCCACGTACCCATTTCCCTGCCGGATAAGCCGAGGCCTGAGACCCAGACTGTGGCCAGCTGGATCCCCCTCCTCGGGCTGGGACCTGCTGCCTCCAGCAGCTTATCTATCCTGTGCATCCGATCCAAACACCTCCCCATGGCACAGGGGCCCCCGTCTACCTTCCGGCCTCAAATGTGATCCTTGGTTGCCCTGCTACAGCCACACGGGGCGCCCTCCTTTGGGTCCTCGAGCAGCTAATCTTATGCATGCCTCTGAACCTTGGCACAGGCTGTTCCCTCTGCCTGACACACTGTTCCCTCCACTCGGTTCCCAGCTGGTTCCTTCGCATTCCTCTCTCAGCTCACATGTCCCCGCCTCCTCGGTGCGTCCTAAATGTTGAGTTCCCCCCATCACCCCAGCCTAGTGTTGTCACAGCACTGGTCACCCCCTGAAACTTGTTCTGCCTTTCTTGCTCCATTCCCCGCACAGGTCTACACAGTTTGCATATCACTTCATCCTCATAAAAGCCCTAAAATGTATGTTCACTATTATGCCCACTTTACGGAGAGGTTAAGCCACATCCCAGTTAGGAAGGGACAAAACCAGGATTCACATCCAAGGAGCAGGAGAGTGTATGTGACCCCACCCGCAGAACACCCGTGACGAGCGGTCCGGGCGGTGGGGGCAGGCCTGTGGGCATCGCGGCAAAGGCTACACGTCTAACGTCAGCCTTGAGCGCTCACGCCCAGGTGCCTCCAGGCCCCGGCAGGTGTCGGGAGTGTGGCCCCCCCGGTGTTGGGGACATCAGACCACACTCTGGTTTCCTCTTTTGCGTCCCCATTCCTGCCGTGGTGCAGAGAGACCTTCGTGTTCCATCAAAAACCGAATCTGCTGCAAGTGGGAGGATAAATGCCACCAACGCTCGGCATCAGGAACCGGCGACAAAAGGGGGAGGTGGGGGCCGGATCGGGGGAACGAGAGAGATGAAAGTAAATGGGGAGACGGGGGCTGGGGCCACCCAGGAAGGCAGGCGAGCAGAACTTCAGATGTGTCCAGAGGAGTTGGAAATTCCAATTTTAGCATGAGATCAGCTGCTTTTTATAGATCGGCTCGAATTATTTCCACAAAACCGAGGGTCGATAAAAGCCAGCTCTAGGCGGGGCTCAGCGTTGGGCCTCTGCGTTGGGCCTCGGCCTCCCAACTGTCCATCTGTGGCCCCCGCCCCACTCAGGCGGGCGAGTCCACGTTCCTCTCCCCGCCCCCGGCCAGAGTCAGCTCCAGGCCTCCAGGGGGCGAGCCAGAGCCCAAGCGGCTCCAGAGACGGACCTGGCCCCCCTTTCGAAGGCAGATAGGAGCTTTTCTTACACAGGCGGGCAAAGGGAGGCTTACGGTCGTGAGTGACGTTCTTTGGAGTCAATAAAGCTATTTGTAATTATCAAAACTCGCGTGTTTTTTTCCATCTGAACAACTGTAAACCTACTTTTGCCCACTCCTGTACACTTGTTGTTAGGGGATAATTCCAGATTTACAGAAAGCGGCCGGGCTGACCGGAGATGCCGTGCCCTGTGTCCGCGCCCCGTCTCCCCGCGAGCAGCATCCCGCCGGACCCGGGCGCGTCTGTCACAGACAGGGAGCCGACACCCACCCCCGCCGGCAATGCCGCGCCGGCTCCTCCTGTCCCGCTTCCAGCCCCTGCACTCGGCCGCCCCTGTTCCAGCTCCAGGTGCCGCGCTGCCTTCAAGGATGGGCTCTGAAGGGTGCTTTCACAGTAAATTCAATAGCATTTTAAAAGCAACATTGTTTCTACTGTGGTCAAATACACATAACAGGAAGTTTACCATTAGCGACATTCCATTCATTCGCCGTGTAACACAACTGTCACCCCTCTCTTCTTCCAGGACATTTTCATCATCCCCCCAAAACTCCAAACCCACAAGCAGTCCCTCCCCTGCCTCTGGCAACCGCCTGTCTGCCATCTGTCTCTGCGTTTGTCTCTTCACACACTTCCTGTCAACGGAATCACACACTGCGTGGCCTCTGTGTCCGGTGTCCCTCGTGCAGCATCGTGTCCTCGCGGTTCATCCGCGCTGTAGCGGGTGCCAGAGCTTCCTTTTCATGGCTGTATAATATTCCACCAGGTGGGTGGGCCACATCTGTCGACACCTCATTGGCTGACGGAGCCTTGGGGAGCCTCCACCTTTGGGCATCGGGAGCAGTGCGGCTGAGAACGCGCCTGCTTTTGAAGGCGTGTATGTTTTAGTTCTTTGGGGTGCAGACCTGGGAGACAAGCCGGCGGAGTCAGGCGGCACCTCTGTGTCCGGCATCTGAGGACCCGCCGGGCTGTTTTCTCCGGCGCCCCTGCCATTGGCCCTCCCACTAGCAGTATCCGGGTCTCAGTTCCTCCACACCCTCACCAGCACTTACGTGCTGGTTTCATTTGTTTTTTTAAATTAGAGCCAATCTAGTGGGCACGAAGCTGGCGGGGAGCCAGGGTTTTCACAGCTGGCTTTTTCTGTTACAATTAATTTAGCAGATACAGCTGCCTTCCCCGGCCCTGGGCCCCGCACTAGGCAACCCCTGCGGTTGGGGCGGGGGGCTGTGAGGGCCCAGGGCCGACCGAGCCCGGCGTGAGGACCCGGGGCCGGGAGAGGGCAGAGCCGGCGTCACGGAGGCGGCCCACGCAGGCGCACAGGGCCCGGCGCGCAGACGAGCCCCACGCTGTGCTTAATCCCCTGCAGCTGCTGTCTTGAAATTCTTAATAATGTTTGAACAAGGGGCCCAGCATTTCCACTTTGCACTGGGCCCTGCCTGCAAATGAGCGTCTCCTGGGTAGTGGTCCCAGCGGGAGGCGGGGGCCAGGAAGCCTGTCCGCACAGCTGCGCCTGAAGCGTCTGAGGCATCTGGGGCAGAGGGCTCAGAGAATTCCGGAACCTGCGCTCTGTCCCCCACCCCGCCCCCCAGGCCCTCACCCTGGCGCCCCTCACGTCCTCCTCTCCCCTCCCACAGCCCCTCCCTCTTCCCAGCTGGTCCCTGGAGCTAACAGTGCATTGGGGGAGGGGGGAGGAGGCTTTCCCAGCGGCTGGTCTGGCAGACGCTGGCCCAGAGCATGTGCTGGGAGGAGGCTGTTCACCTGATCTGGGGTCACAGTCAGAGCTGACAGCTCCAGGACAGAGGGCCAGGACCCCGAGGTGCCGATGGGAAGGGCGCTGAAGGTGGGCTCTTTGGGACCGAGTACCCTCACTGGGGCGGCAGGATGGCCCCTCCGTGGCGTGTCCCCGTGCCCACTGCACGGGGGCTGTGCCCGGGCTTGGGCCCTGCCTTCCCCTCAAGCCCCCGAATCTGCGTTTCTCCCCAAGTCTGGCTGAGACCTTCCCTACCTCAGGGAGCATCCAAAGCTAATGGGCTCGGAAATCCGTCTGTCCCTCCTCTTCTCCAGAGCGGCCCAGTGCTGGCGAGCAGGGGGGTCCTGCACAGGGAGGCTGGGCGGTGAGGCCCGCCCCACCGCGCCCTGTACCCCAGGGGCTGGTGCGCTCTGAAGAGTACCCGGCGGGGCGGGGGGGACAGACGGACATGAGTAGGTGGGAC